AAAAAAAAAAAAAAAAAAGTGATGCTTCTACCAGTTTACGTCACTGGTGAAAAAACTGCTTAAATAATTGTTTTTCTTCCCTATGTATATAAACAAAAGATGAATAAACTGACAATCATCATCTGGCTATGAATTTTTATTAATTCATAATATAATATCTTGCCAAGGCTTCTGCTACATTCATCTATTTATTTTATGTAGGAGGGAGGCCCTTAGCTTGGTCATAATATTGAAAGCTTAAATAGATATCTCCAATTTCTCTTCCTGCCAATAAAGAGTGTAATCATCTTAAGCCCATCTATTACTTTTACTCTTGACATTACATCTGCTTATATTTCTGAGTTTGCATATAAAATATTAGCCTACCTAATTTTAATATATTTTTGAGCATTAGGTTCAAAACTGCAAGTAATTCAAATTACAATGAGCAATAACTTTCAGGTTTGGTGGTCTTTTAAAAAATTATTAACTCGAGTTTCTGCTTATATGTTAATATAGTATTGTTCATGTTAGGAGTCTTACACTTCACAATACTTAGTGGTGTTAACTAAAGTAAATTCTTTTCTCTACAAACAGAAATTTAAACACCCATTTAGCAATGCTTAATGCAAATGAAGTTCACATATATCAAGTTCCTGGGTTTCTTGGAAGAAAATAACTATAACTTTTATGATGTGTGGAAGGAATTAGAACACATTATGGGTGTGTGGGAGTTGGTGGGCGAGAAAAGCAAATCAGATGCTCTTTTGCCATTAAAACACCATTGACGTGCTAACATGTAGGATTCTTTGATCCCCTTTTTAGGGGGGTTTTTCCTCAACTGATGATATTCAAAATCTTCAAGAAGAAAATATGAATCCAAATTATTTTAATCATGATGAATATTACAACTGGAACTGGATCTTTTAGCCACAATAAAGTAACTAATGGACAGTTATGAAAACCCATGAACCTACAGAACTCCATAAAGAAATAAAGCAGATACTGAAACAAAGTATCAAGATGAAACGTTCTCTACTGTCTCGGACTAAAATTGATGCTGGGTTTATTTATTTGAAAATAGCTGAGTCCAACGGTGCCTTTTGAAGCCAGTTATTCATTTGACACTCACTTCCAGAATTCCCCTTATCACAGAAGCAGAATATTGGTGAACAATGATGCTATCTCACCAAAACTTTTGTAACTAGTTGCTTTCCTGTTTCCTTTTTGCTAGGTCATAAAAAACCTGTTATTTTTCAAACCATTCTGATCCCAAGAGGAAAAAAATTAAAAAGAAACCTGACTTCTTAGGAAAAGCTCCAGCTCCTCCATGGACCAGCCTTGCGACTTCAACCAAGCCATTTAACCTGTCTGGATTGCCTTACCTAAACCATGACTGCTTAAATCTATGCCAACTCGACCATTCTAGAAGCCCTCGAATGTTATATATGGATGTGAGGAAATTAGTGCTACTGCAGCTCATTGTTTTTGTACTGAGTTGTAACATTAAAAATACTCTGTAATTTTGGGAACATGGAACTTAAAGGATTTATTTAGGTATTTAATACTCACATTAGCCACACAATTAAATATTATAATTGTAGGTGATGTGATAGGTTTAGACTTTGTCCCATTAAGAAATGTGTGCTATACGGTCGACCCCGTAGCGGTTAAGTGCGCACACTCTGCTACTGGCGGCCCGGATTCGGATCCCGGGCGCACCGATGCACCGCTTCTCCCGCCATGCTGAGGCCGCGTCCCACATACAGCAACTAGAAGGATGTGCAACTATGACATACAACTATCTACTGGGGCTTTGGGGAAAAAAAAAGGAGGAGGATTGGCAATAGATGTTAGCTCAGAGCCGGTCTTCCTCAGCAAAAAGAGGAGGATTAGCATGGATGTTAGCTCAGGGCTGATCTTCCTCACAAAAATAAAAAAAGAGAGAGAAATGTGTGCTATTAATATTTATGGCTACTAAAAAACCCAGCTGCCATCCATGCACTTGTATCAAGATGGAGATGCTCCTTTTCCAGCTTCTGTCACAGATATTTCAGAGTGTAGGGCAGAAATGTCATCAGTAAGGTGACAGGGAGGTCATCCTCTTCACAATATAATAGATATTTATGAAATAATTTGGGGAATGTCTAACTGTCCAAGCCTTTTCCAGGTCAAGTTTACATGAATTCCATGCTTGGGTAAACGTAATAAATACATTTTTTAAAAGTTCTCTTTTACTCTGTCCATAGTAAATGAGGCTCTCACCCCAGTGAAGGCCACCCAAAGACCTTTCCAGCAGTGGGGGTGTATTTACCCAAAAAATTTGAGCTTAAGAAATAGGAACATTTCCCGAGTCAAGCAAGACAGTGAAAAAATGCACAATTTTCATAGATATGCTTTTACAGTCAGGCAGAAAGTATTTTCACTATAATATGACATATAAGTGAGTTTTTGTGGGGCTCAGAACAAATTGCTTCCTGCCCAAGAAAAATAATCATCATCAGTCCAAGGAGTAAGTACCATTTAGCGCATTTGGAAAACTTCAACTTCAGCTATGATCCTAAGTCTATTTTACGGAGTGAGATCAAAAGACGTTTCCAAGAAAAAATAAAAAAGGAGAGGAATAGATGAAATAAGAATGGCAGAAAAATATCTGTAAGTGTTGAAGCAGAGATACTGAGACATTATATTACAACATTCTTTGTGAATGTTTGAATATTTGTATAATACAAAATTTCTAAAGGGATTACATTTCTGGAGTTTGAGTCAAGCAGCCCTGAGTTTAATCAGAGGAGTAGAGAGCCACATTGCGTTTGAGATTCATTTCCCGGGAGAATTAATAATGCTGATAACGAAAAGCCCCCTCTTCCTGTGAGGCCTTGAGAAGGGAACAAAGAGGTGTCCCCCTCTAACTGTCCTCCAATGACGAGGTCGGGCAGTGGGTGGCTTTCTAAAGTGACCAGCTCAGCTCCTTTACTTTTCTTCCAACACTGATGCTCGAAGTCCACGGGTGGAGGGAAGCTTCCTGTCTTGAATTCAGCCTCTTTCTCTTTCTCCCTGAGCACTCTGCCTGCCAACTCCCAGGGCTCTAAAGCCAGGAGCAAACAGTCAGGAGAGTCCATGTGAGTCTGCAAACTCCAGGTGACAACTAGGAATTTGTTCGCTCATCTCTCACCTGGACTGTTGTTACATGTCAACTCTGACTCTGGCACTAAAAATAGAAGACCTGAATCTATCAGATTTTATGTCCTGGAAAAATATTTATTCCTCTCCACTGTACATTTCCTCTGTAGTGTTTCATGGCAAAGAGGAATGTGCTCTTTGATGTTTTATAGAGCTGACCTGATTTATTTTATTCAGACTCCTCAGAACATAAGATCACCTCCCTGAGTAGGCTTGGAAACTCCCACGGAGCAGCCAGATTGGTTCCTTCTCCCAAATAAAAATGAAACCAAAAGACAAATGGAAAATCCAGGTACTATAGCTCTGGTGTGCTGATAAGCTGAAAAATGACAGATGATACCCAGCACAGTCCTTGGCACACAGCAAATGATCAATTAGCATTTGAGTGTTTAATACACCACTTACTAGTGTACCAATTCTCTTTCACATTAAGACAGAAAATGGATCCCTATTATTATGGGGAAATGAATTTGCCCTGAGCAAGGAAGAGCTTTCTAAAATGAGAGCTGTATAAAAATTAAACGATTTGGGAGATAGTGATTTTTCTGTCTTTGGTGGTTTTCAAGAAATCTTGATGACCCCAAGACTGCAAAATGACAGGGGTGGGGGGAGGTGATTCAAAATGCCCGATAACTCTGAAGTTCTGTAATCATAAACGCGGCAAACTTGCTTAGCGACAAGGAAGTCTGACAGTGGGAAAGGCCAGAGGGCGGTGTTTGGATTGCCCTCGACCCCCTCAAGTTAAAAGCTCAAGGTTTTATAACATGTCAGTTATAAGTGGAATGGAGAAAGAAGAGGGTGAGAAAGTTAGTTAAATAGTTTAATCAGAGCAGTTTTACAATTCTAAAATTAACAAGCAGACTTGTAATAAAAGAGCTCCAATGTTTGCAAAATGACCTTGCTTCCATTCTGAATCTGTCTTTTTATTTGTAAAGATTAGCGTTACATTTAAAAGGACTCAAGATGGAGTGACCGATATCATCATCCCTGTTTTTTGATGCAACTCATGAAATCCCTGAATGGATATTGCTTCAGCGTTGAGATTAAAAAATGGCCTGACAAGAAGTCCTTAATCACAACCGATCACAGGTGGCCGAAAGAAAGAGAAAACCCAAAACTACTGTCAAGTTCACAATGTATCGTTGGTGGATGACACTGGCTCCAAAGATACAATTAAGCCCACGACACTTTATCACTATGAGTATAATTACCGTGAAAGTTCTCTCACGTTTATCAACTTGCTTCTGAAGGTTTTCTTTGTTTGTTTACACTTGCATAATAAACATGCGATGAATTATTTCTCTTGAAAGTGTATTTTTTGCAGTCTTTTTGTTTTCATACAAAGATTTCATAAAGTTGCAATGTTGCATCAGAGCATTACCAAAATAACAGCAAGAGCGCAGGGGGAGGGTCAATGTGAATTAACTGAATGAGAAGAGCCTCCTCTCGTCCTGAGACAGGCCACCCGTCTTTTTAAAATGGTGCACACAAACTGCTTTTCTTACCCTCCCCCATCAAAGAAAAGAATAAAAGAAAAAAACCTCACAAAATCAATCTAAGAAAAACAAAGGTCGACACAAAGAAAATGAAGATGATTTTTCATGCACATATCTTCTGCATAGCTCAACCCACATAGAGTAAGGCACTATTTCCTTTCGTAACTGGTGTCCACGGCAATCTGTTAAGTGCTACAGTGCTCTGTGACCATTAGAGGGTTCCTTTCAGGATGGTGAACTAAAGAGGCTGGATGAGTGTGGCTGCCAGGCTTGTCTGTGCATGTCCCGTAGCTCAGGGAGACTTCCAGGAGTCCCAGAAGGAAATCTGTCTGTCTGTGTTATGATTGAGAGTGTCCGGAATGGTTTTCTTTCCAGAGTTCCTATTTTGTCTGGGTATGAATTTAGATTATTCTTCAGTCTTTATTCTCAAAGAAAATACACAAGGTAGGGGGGAAAACACAGTCAGGTCTTCAGAAACAGCTTCACTGCTCTCAGAAAGCATATAATGCTGGCAATTCACAAAATCAGCAAGATGTTTCCAAGAGAGCAGCGAGAGAGAGACAGAGTCAGAGAGACACAGAGAGAGAGAGAGTGTGTATGTTTTGGTTTTTGGAGGTGATCTGGGTCGGAGCTTAATTCAGCTGGTCTTCATACTGTTTCCGGAAGCAATCTCCTGCTGGGAAAAATTCCCAGCATCTTTCTTGATACATCTTCCAGACATAAGATTCCTGTAAACGTAAAGGAAATGTATTGACATCATGTCTATCCCCCAGATCTGTGTGTTTCCACAAAATATAAGAAACTCAAATTTGATGCTATATATCTATCACATATGTATAATTGTGTAATTACACAGAATCATGCAATTGGAGAAGCCCAAATTCATTTAGATAGTTCCTAACTATACTAGACCTTATTTACTTCTGATAATAAAAAAATAATCAATCTTTATCCTAACCATAATATAATAATGACAAAAAGCCTATTTGCGATATAGGTTTTTGAGAGTTCTTTTAAAAATATTATTATTATTAATTGTACCCTTCAAATTCAAACTATTAACAATTGGAGGTGAATATTTGTGGAGGGAGAATTTCAAATAGCTTAAGGAGAACCTCAGACATTTAGAATGCAATTATTTTTAACTGATCTTTATACTGTGGGTTAAAGTTCATTTGAAATCATCTGCTATCTGATTAAGCAATCGAGAACATTATAATAATCAAAACCCAAACTAAGCATTTTCAGCTAATAAAATCTTATTTTTTTATGTGAAATTAAAATTTTACTTTTTCTACAAAGGCAATCTTTGCACACTCCAGGATAACAGGAATTTTATATTAAGATACAATGACTTATTTTTTGAAAGTAATTCCACCTCTTAATGTTTAATGCACACATTTTGTTCCAACATGTAGGGTTCCTCTTTCCATCCTTTCTTTCAGAAGATGGTATACAGTTGCTGTTTATTTACCTGTCCTGTGTGTTCTGTTTCATCTTTGTTTATGAGATACATCAGAAAAAACCTACAGACAGAGAAAATAATCAGAAATGGATTACATGGAAATATCAGCATAAACAGATACTTCTGGTCCTGCTATGGGCTAACTGTTTACACTGCTGGCAGAGCAAAGAAATGGGTTAAAACTACAAGGCAAAAAATGCTACGGGGACCAAAAGCTTAACCTTCTTTTAAAATATTTTTTCTAAGGAGCTAAAGTGTGTACACAGATCAAGTTATGCTTCTTGGGAACTTCTATATGCCAGCCTCAGTGCCAGACCCCACCTGCAACTGTATCCACATTTCTTCACTCATGGGGCAGGAATTGCAATCTCCATTTGGAAAACCAAGGACTAAAAAGGTGAAATAACTTGCCTAATGTCACACAGCTGTGAATTCCAAAGCCCACATTTTTTTTGGCTACCATGCTACTCTGAATCTCTTCTGTTTGATATTAAAATTGGGTTAGAAACTAAGAATAATATTTTACCAAACTGCAGTTTTGGGTAGTCCCAATAACAGCCAGATTTCTATGTATTGGGGAAAAAAATGCAACTTTTAACTGTGTTTCCAATAGTGCCTAAAGAGATCTGTAGGCCCCCAGAAAAGAAAAATGGAGATTCACATATCTCTAGGAAGCGGCTGGAGTATTCTCATTCAAAGTGGTAAACGCTGCCTAGGCTCTGAGAGAGGCTCAGCACGTATTCTGCTTTTCCTTTTCCATCTTTTCACTTCACATTCTAGAAAAATCATTCACATGAAGGGCTGCAACTTCACTTCTTAAGTCAATCTACTTCTGAGGAAAAGAGAACCACTGGCTGTGGGTCTTTCTCTCAACGAGGTATATGAAGCCTGAGCTCAGAGAGAAAGCAAAAGCAGCAGAACCCTCTCCTGTTTCTCAGGCTTGCAGAGGTGGGGCATGGCGGGTCTTGAGAGGCTGAAAAGTATGAGACGCGCACACTCACAGGTAATTGGCCAAGTTGTGTTCCTGTAAAGTGTGGGTTTCAAAGCCATGTGGCACTGTGTCGAAGTAATCATTGCCTATACCACAGATGAAGCATTTGGTCTAGAAGACAAAGGGAAACATTACAATGTCAGAGTTCAGAAAGGAAAACACAACTCATCACTTAGGGGCAGCTATTTCTATTTCATTTATTCAATATATGTAAAAGATCATCGTAGAAGGCTGTGCCAGGCACATGAATATCAATTTAACTGTGGCCACAACTCTATCGTGCTGTAGGTTTAAATGACATAGGTACCAGTAGCAAGAAGCAACAGATGCAGAAAGAAGAGAACAGGATAATGATGGCTGAAAAGCAACGTTTTTTCCTTATTTTCTCCAGCCTAAGCAAGAATGCCCAGGCTTAGTGATTGCCCTTGTTCATGACATTGACTAAAGTTATCAAGGCAGGATTGACTGTGTCCTCAACTGAAACTGCAAACTTGGCATCTACCTGGACAAAGTCTGATGACCAAACGGGGAAGGCACAGGTTATTTCCATTTGGGGAGAGCCAAGCTGTGAGGCATTCAGTCAACGGTTCAGAGAGAGTCTGCCATGAGCCAGGCACTGTGCTAGGTACACGATTAACCAATGGGATAACTTTCTACTCTAGGCATGGGGTGCCTGCTCTCTCTGCTTCCTCCTCGTCCCAACCATCGCTCTCTTCACGCAGCCTACAGAGCAGCACCTGCTTAGGTCTGCCATCTGCCGGCCTGGCACAGAAAACCCAAGGAGAGGCAGGCCTTCCATTTTATTATTAGAATTTCATATGTGTCAGCTCAAATGAATTCAATAATTATTGTCCTCATGTGGCTCCAGATGCTCATCTTTCCTGCAAATTTATAGCTGTTTACTACCATAGGAGGCATGTTTATAATGCCCTTGATTCTAGGGCCTTGAATCAAGATGATTAAGATAATTAGTAAAATTCTCCCTGCCTTATTGATCAACAGCTGCTGAGAGCAGAGAGGCCACATTCAGCCACGAGGTCTTTATACCACTCAATGTCTCTTAACTAAACAGGTTCACATTTATCCAGGAACCTGCTCTTCCTCTGTGTCATCTCTTTCCGTTACTGTGTGCAATCGAGCCACCATCCTTTCAGTGGTTCATGCCGGAAACCTGGGTGTCATCCTTGCTTGCTCCAAACTCTTCATCCTCTGCATTTGGCCAATCACCAACTCCTTTTCACGCCAACTCCAAAGCACTACTTGAGTCCATTTGATTCCTGCATCCTTAGTGGCACTTCTTTAGCAAAAGCCTCTTAATCTCCGACCTAGAAAATGCTGACAGCCTGCTCCTGGTCTTGCCAGTTTCTAGTTCATTCCCCATATTTTAAACCGTAGTTATCTTTTTAAAATGTAAATCTGATCACCTCATTGCTCTGCTTAAAACCCTTTTATTTCCCACAGCCTGTAAGTTACACTGTAAATTTCACAAATGAGTTATTAGGCTCTTAATTAGCAGGCCTTCCTCTCCAGCCCATCACCAGAATGTAATGCTTCATCTTGAACCACTTATGCTTCCAAAGAAAATTTTGCATATCAAATTCCCTAAAATCAGAATCTTGGTATCTATAACCTTGGGTGATGACATTCTCACAGAATGGTACCCCGGAGATGTGCATGGGCCGGGGAGCGGGGGTGGTTCAGGAGGTTGCCTAAACTGTCCTTCTCTCTCTCTCTCAAACTCGTACCTCTGCAATCTTCAGGCCTCAGCTTGGGCATCCGTTCTTTTAGGAACTTCCCTAATCAACCCAGAAGAAATTAGACACCAGCCCCGGAGACCCCAGCACAGACGGTCTCCCCCTATAAAGGGCTCACCACACTGCTCTGTAATCTCGTTTACTCAGAGCCCACCACGGTTCCAGCCTAGCACACTGCTCAATTATATCTATTGCCTAAATCGAGAATAGGCCAAGGAAGCCACACGTTGGTGAAGTCTTTCACTCCTTTCTCCCACATTCATGATTCTCTGATAAAGATGCTGAGGAAAGTCAGTGCCCACCACAACGAAAGAGCTGAGTCGGAAACAGAGAGACTTACCTCCATGTCTTCTTTGACTTGCTCCTGTTGGTCTCTTAGTTCTCCAAAAGCGTCAATAATTAAACCTAGTGTTAGACAAAGACACAATTTAATCTTTACCAACCAGAGAATAATAATTAAACTCATAGTCCTTTGGCTAATCCTTCCAAGAAAGGGAAAATGTACAGCCATGTTGAGAAACGCTCAGAACATGGTAAAAGGTGTGAGCACACACACGACTCCTATGAGGGCAGTGGCATCATCTCTTTAGGGGCAGAAATTCACGCAGTTATTGGGCATACACTCCTGGAAAAAGGGTTTAAAAAAGAAGTGACAGAGGAGGAAAAACCTTCAGTTGGCTTGGCACAGTTAACTTAGAGACAGCATGTTGCTACCTGCTTCACACTGAGACAGAACTTTTGAGATTCACAGTAAGTACAGAAAACTCCACTCAAAAGATTTTCAAGAACTAATTCGGAAATCAAACAGTACCATGCTAACTGTGAGAAATTTGCCTCAAATCATTTTTTTCCATAAGTTCCTCATAAATAATCTTTTCATAATGTTATTAATTGCTACAATCAGACACTAACTGCATCGCGCTGTCTTGTTTCAGCTCCTTTTTTCTCCTGGGACTTGCTGGAGGCACATTTTCTTCCAAATGTTCTCTGACTGCGCCCTCTAATAAAACACATCACTGTTACACTCAGTAAAGACATAAAGGATGGATTATGAATCCTTTAAACCTGCTCATGTACTTTACTGAAAAAAAAAAGTACCATTTTATGCCTGTAGAACATAGAGGATACTATCACATTTATAGCCACTTAATTCAAGCTAGGATAAATGTGTAAGCAGAAAAAGATAACATGAGTGATTTTTTTCTAAGGAAGGAAAACACCACACTCCAAGTTACCCTGGAGTACAAGGAAGAACTCGTGGGTCAATATGGCACTGTGGTTGCAAGTGAGGGGCTCCGGGTCTAGACTCCGTGGGTTTGGATTCCAGCTGTGACACTTTTTAGCTTTTTGGCCAAAGTACTTAGACTTATTATGGTTCAGTTTCTTCAAATCTGAATAATACCACCATTCTCACAGGACTCATTGAATGTACATCATTTTTTTAAAAAACTTTTCAACAAGCCTATGGCTTAGAGATTTATATAACTTCCATTTGATAGACCCAAAGAGGTTATACGGCTCACCCATCCCAAATTTTAAAGCCAGTAAGTAGCAGGGCTGGGAATCAAACCCAGGAAAGTGCTCTTTCCGTTACATTATTTGAAAGGAGGCCAAAGAACCGGTAGCCATCATCCCCTATGCCAGGGTCCCATGCTCCTTTGTTTTCCCCTCTACAGATTTCATATGAAGAAATACTGAAAGGAAAAGTTCTATTTGGCCTTTCCAAAAAACACTTGACATTCTTACCAACTTTAAGGTTAGCTTCAACAGTATGTACTTGAGCTTCAGTGAGAATGGTGCTTACCTTGTATTATGGCCAAGAGAATGACAATTACGAAGAAGAAGAAGGTGATGTCAAAGATGATTCGATAGATCTCATATTCGTCACCTGCTGGGTCTTCGATTTCATCACCGATACCCCCTCCAGCACGTACCCCAACATACATGTGGAACATATAGCACTGGAAGAGAGAGAAATGGTATCACTTCCTGGAAGAACACTGCTCATTTTTATACTCAACAAACCTAAGTTTCTCCCTCTAGTTCTTAATCTCCACTCTGAAAATGATGAGAATCTCTGCATTCTACACTTTTTGTTTCAATATTTGTAATTTGATGCAAACACTTGGCTCTTACACTCTGCTGTCTTTTCAGCAAAACTCTTTACTGCACACTCTGCTGAGCACCTTCTGTCACACTTTGCAGAAAATGAAAAATACCTCACTAGCATCTGGCGTAAGGTAATCCTATTAAGAAAACATTAAGGTCCACAAAACTATATTTAATTGCATTGTTCCATTTTTTTTTTTTAAGCATAGCAGACATAGGAAAGGGGAAGTAAAAGCCCAATGTATAACAAGATGGAATCTTAGAAACTAAGCTAGGAAGAAAACAGACCTAATAACACTCAACATGCCCTCATCTATCATACATGGAATATGATGCTGACAGTTTTTTCTACTTTAATATCTAGAATAAAGAAGAAAGACAGTGGGAAGAGGCAGTAAAGAAATAGCAGCTCATTGTTTAAACCTTGAAATATTAAAGCACCAACAATAAGTACAGCTGCAAGTGCCCATTGCAGAAAAAGAAGGGGTTCAGCAGAGAGCTTCGGGGGGAGGGTTTCTCAGCCTTGGCATCATTGACACTTGGGACCAGATAATTCTTTGTTGTGAGGTCTGCCCTGTGCGTTGTAAGAGATTTTAGAAGGATCCCCGGCCTCTATGCACTAGATGTCAATAGCACCCCACCCCACAGACAATGAAAAATGTCTGCAGACATTGCCAAGCATCCCTGGGGAGCAAAATCATGACTGGTTGAGAGCCACTGGCTTAAAGCATCCAGTGTTTTATCCTCATTCAGAAGTCCACACTCTCCATTTCAGGGCCTCAAATTTAGTTCCCCTTCACCTCTCTAAGTTGATCTTGCACTGCTCCCAGGCACCGCCCACCACTCTTCCCATGCCTCCTCCAAATACACTATTCTTGATTCTAGATCTCTGCTTGCACATTCTCCTTATCTTGCAATATCCTTCCCCATTCTCATCCCATTCCTACGCATCCTTTACACCCTAAGTTAATAATCCTTCTTCCATGTGGCCTCCTTAGACTGTTCCAGACACTCTTATTTACCCAACTGATGTCACCCATCAGTGCAAAACAACACACTTGCCATCTGCCATAATGAAGGGGGCAAAGATTTGGAAACAGCGCCTTCACTTGTTGAGACACCACACTCCTCTGGTTTTCTTCTACATTTCTGGCCATTCCTCCTCAGCCTCCTTGGCCAGTTCTTCCTCATCTCCCTATCTCTTCATGAACTAATGCTCCAGCATTGGGTTCTTTGATTTTTCTTTTTTAGGACACTCCCTTGAGGAACTTTCTCAGTTTCATCCTTAAGTATCATCTCTGTGCCAATTACTTACACCTTGGGTCTCTGTCCTGAATTCCAGACTTGTATCTCCATCTTACTTATTTATTTTTGATGTCTTATGATCTATCTCACTCCATTAGAATTGGCTGCACTATAAGAAGAATTACTTCAGTTACTATTCTATCATCAGTGCCTAAAATAATGTCCAGCACATGATAGGTAATTAAAAATCCCTTTTGGGATGAATGAGCAGTGAAGCTATGACTGACCAGCTGCTCTCATGGAGACTTCACTGCCTCAACCCACAGACCTCAAATTCTCAGATCACTTTAAAAAAGCACAAAGTGCAGGCAGAGAAGACAGCGAGGTGACACTAAAATGCTCACAGCTCAACAGCTAATGTATAGATAGATGCAAAATGTGAAATTTTCCTGGGTCAGATGCCTGAAATTTAATGAACAGAATTAAGTAAAGACTGTGTCACTCCAAAAAGAGTTTTGTCAGTCAGGTACCCAATGAACAAAGAGTATCATAAGGCAGTTCTGCTGATGGAGAACTGTCTAAAGCCCAGGTAAGAGGTCTCTCTTGCAGAGGGGCCAGGAAAGTCCTTCTCTAGAGACAGCCCGAAGAGACCGATGGTGCCTAAACCTAACTATGCATCTGGATCTCCTGGAGGCTTAAAAATTCTGGATTCCTGGTACCACATACTGAATCAATCTCTGGAAGTGAAAATTTGAAGACAGTCACTTTAGCAAATCCCTCAGGACTCTGCATTCATTTCTTAGAACTGTTCATCTAAAGCAGTGCTTGAAACTGTTAACAGTGGATCTGCAAAAAGAGGAAATTTTATTTTCACTGAATACTCTTGCATACTGTTGCATATTATTTTTATCATATCCATTTCTTATTTTTATCAAGAAAAAATTGGGATTATATGTTTTTCTCCAAATCTGTCTCTATATGTGCTTAATTGTGGCCACAGGAAATAGACAGAGGATTATTGCAGCTGCCTACTTCTTACTTAACACACTACCATAGGCCATCCTTTGCTGGCTTCACCACACTTAGCTTTGTTTGCAATCCCCCTCTTTGGGCTGGGGAGTCAATTTGGACAATCTACCTGTGGTCTGGCACTTCTGCATGTCAAATTCTGGCCCTTTGGCTCCCCACACCAATTCCCACAGTGGGTCAACCATGTACCACTGCATTCCCAGTGCAGGTCTTGGAATGTTCCAGCTCTCCAAGCCCTACTTGTTTGACAGGTATGTGACTAAGATCATCCAGCTAATTCCTCTTGCTATTTCCTGTTGACCAAGACTTTTGGATTACAATTTGGTTTTCCATGTAGAGTTTTTCTATAGGGAAGAGAATGTGTTGACTGGTTGCATGAACTCTTAATGAGTAGGATGTTGGTATTCTGACTCATATATTCGACTCTTAGGACCCTGGTTAATGTGAGTCTGTCCTCAAGAGAATGATTCACTTTTAGTTTCTAGACATGTAAAGTTGAAGACAAGACCACAGGATGAGGTTAAATTATCAAAGTAGATGTTTCCTTCTTTTCAGATCTCTTGTCAGCCATCTAGGCTCTCCAGGCAATATCCCTCCTCACCGCTCACCTTCATCTATGACAGCCCTAAGAATACTGAGGAAGAGATTCCACCATATTTCAATAACAGACTTATGGCCACGCCAAAAAGATAGGGAGAGTCTTGTGGATTTGACTATTTAGGCTTAATAAGATACTAAATTTAAGAAGAATAAAGTGCATAGTTCTCCAGTGGTATTTTGATACTGATTTTTCCCAACCTTATCTTTGCTACCTGGTTATCCCCAGAAACAGCAGGTAGGTGGCCAGTGTGGTGGAATATGAGGTGGTGTGGGGAACACCCACCCACATGGGGCTGTCAGGCTTTTAGCTATCAAATTATCACTCTGCTCCTGAAAATGGAAATCCTTTCATCCACATTCCTTTTCATAGAATCAGCTTAAACCTGATAATAAGAGCTGGAGAAGTAATTCTGGGAGAAAAAATGATACACTTTGTTCAGAGAATCCAAGTAATGAGGAAGGAAGGTGCCTGGTACTACAAAAATTGGGAATAGGTAGTTGTTAATTCTCAAGATTTACTATTCTATGGCTTTCCACCCATCCATCTCCTAAACTGACATATTCTGGGGTTAATCGTTGTTTATGCTGCCGTTAAGAAACACTGAGGAGGACCAGTTTCTAGTGGATTGGTGAAGATCTTTATAAGATCTTTATCTAGGCAAAAAAGGGAGAGAGCCAGACACAGACAGGGAAAGAGAGAGATAGAACAAACTAGAAAAAAACAAATTATTCATTGGGAAGGTGGGGTAAAATCGTGATTTACAACAATTACCTAAGCAGGTTACTTCCCTAGGTGTGTACTTGTTATCTCGACCACCTGGGAAGTTTTTTCCAAAATACACAGGTCCGGATACCTTCCCTGCAGTTTCTGATTCAGGGGATCGATTTGGGGTTGGCCTAAGACTTGTGGATTTACAAAGAGCTGGCCTGGTGATTCCTCTGTGCATCTGAGGCTGAGAACACTCCTTTTCAGATGAACGTCCTTATATACGCCAGGCCAGTCTCCCTGGCTATCTAGCTACAATCGTCTTTTTGCCCTGGGCTTTAGAACTTTAGATCACTTTTCACTTTCTCCCCCTACATTCTTGGAGAAGAGGTTCAAATTCTATCAGGATACTGCTGATTTAATTAGATTCTCAGGCTCAAAACACCATGATCCTAAATAAATAAATAAGTAAATAAGTAAAGAAAGAAAGAAATCCAAGTGTGAATCATCACTGAGTCTGCAAAGCTGCAGCTACAGTGCCACCTGCTGTAAGTTATGAAACACTGGAAGGGTGAATTTCGTCCCTGTGAAAACCTAAAATGCTCCTTCAGACCGGAGAAACAACAAACGTAATGGACACTCAGGACGATGCCGATAAAATATGACAGGAGTGAGGAAAACCTGTCTCAAATGAGAACACTGGATTTCACCCTGTGAAAAGAAATGCGAAAGAGACTGGCACAAAGAAAGGATTACCTTGAGAACTAAATTAAAGAAATTAAATCCTACCACTCTCTACTTCCTACCTCTCTGACTTGCTGGCTGCTTAGTTTTCCTAAGCCTCTACTTTAACGAGCACAACTTTAAGTGATCAGTTACATTTTAACCGTTCTTGGCTTTTTCAAAACCTCACTGCACAAGCATTCGTAACATTAATCTAGGTAACGTGGCCTTTGATAAAATAGTTTGGTTTTTTGTCGTTTTTTTTTTTTTTTTTGGTGAGGAAGATTGGCCCTGAGCTAACATCTATTGCCAATCTTCCTCTTGTTGCTTGAGGAAGACTGGCCCTGAGCTAACATCCATGCCCATCTTCCTCTATTTTATATGTGGGTTGCTGCCACAGCATGGCTTGATGAGTGGTGTAGGTCTGTGCCTGGGATCCCAACCTGCAAAGCCGGGCTGTCGAAGTGGAGTGTGCCGAACTTAACCACAATGCCACAGGGCCAGCCCCTGATACGATAATGTTTAAGGACAATCAGCTGGATATGGGCATGTGGGAAACTACACAGACTCCTGTCTGGTTCAACTGATTGGCAGCTGTATGTAGCTGTGAAAGGGCTTGGAGTGAGATGTAGTTTGTGTCAGAACTGAGTTTTCTCTTGTAAGAAAGAAACATCTAAGATGCATAGTTAAGATGCCTCCAACCTGACCTCAGCCAAAGGCAAGACAGTACATTTACTATTATGAGTAGAGATATAAATATCTACAACAGAGCTGGTCAGAGGTAGTCTCACTCATAAGGACAGAAATCCCCCAAATTGAACATAATCCAGGCTCTAGCTCTGACCTGAGCCCACAGTGGAAAACATCAAGAGGCTTTATTTCCTCCTCCTAAAGTGAGGCCAACTTCTCTCCCTCTCTATACACGTCCCATATAATTGGGTAACATCAGCCAGGTGAAGGCAGTTGTCTTCCCAACTCACCTCTTGTTCAAATAATGTATGGATTCTTCTCATAATAAGGATATTGGCAAAATTAACAAAGCAATGGAAACTCATACTGACAGTGAGAGTCAAAATGTAGTCATCTAAGGATACTATGAGGACAACTTGAACAGGGTCAAATAGGACTCATGATGTTAGAAGGAGAGACCAGGATCTTGCAGGGGTCTTACTGTGGTAGGAGAGGGGGATGTTAAGTCGCATATTGTTCCCATGACCTAACATACGCCACTGAATATCACTATCTGAACTCATCCCTACTCTGCACCAATCTTGAACAATTCATTGAGCATCATATCCTCTGGGAGTGAATCGCCTCAGTACAACCTTCTGACTTGAGGCTGGTGGATTCTGAGATTCAGAACTACTGGAGTGTTTCTCCTGGAATACAAATGGATCTCCCTGGAGTCAGTGTAGGTACAACTGCCTGCTGTTAGTACTTACTGACCCTCCTTTGTACCTTGTTGACTCCTCCAGCCCTCTGCTCCCCTCCCTGCCTCTAGCCAGCGCCATCCCAAGTCTTCAGGGTCATGGGGTAGAGAGACAAGGTGGATACTAAAGGCAGCGCACAGAAGGGGAGACGAAGGGTCTCTAAAGTATCTTCCTCCCTGGGCCTGGAATGGGGAGGTTGGGGGATGTGGGGAAGCAGGGAGGGGTGGCAAAGTGTCCGATGTTAGTGACTCTGGTGGCTGTGACTACTAGTGACCAGTCAGGTTCTTATTGCATGAGTTTTCTCTCTCCCTGATCTGTGGTCCTGCTCCCTGTAGGAACCCTTGTTAACAGTTTCTTGTGTGTCCTTCCAGAAAAATTGTATGCATATCCTAGCATATCTAATACTTACATTCTAACGTGTGTGTGTGTGTGTGTGTGTGTGTGATCTTACACAATTAGCATCCTACCATAATGCTGTTCAGAATCTTGCTTTTTATTCCCCACTTAAATGTAATTTGTATGTCTTTTCATATCAGCATGTACAGTCTAATTTTTAAATAGCTACATACTTTTCCATTCTGCAGATTTACCATAATTGATTTAATCAAGACTCTATTGATGAGAATTTAGATTATGTCCAATTTGTGAGAGCAGCTAATATATTTGACCATACAGAGGCATATTTGTGAATAAACATTTAGGTCAATTACTAGTAGTGGAACTGACAAGTCAAAGGACAGTACATTTAAAAATTTGATAGATATTGCAAAATTTATCTAAAATTGCTGTGTTAATTTAAATTGCCAACAACTGTTCACGGAAGTGCCAGTTTTTTCATCAATTTAACACCTCTGGGTACTAACAAACTTCAATATTTTGCAAACCTGATAGGTAAAAGTGGCAACCGATTGTTTTGTTTTGCATTTCTTTAATTATGATAGAGGCTCAGCATCTTCCCATATTTACAAGCTGACTGAACTTATTTTACTGTGAATTGTCTAGTCATATAATTTGCTCATTTTTATATTGGCTTATTTATTTCTTCTTACTGATGTAATAAGGACTTTGTAAATTAAGGAAATTGGCCTTTTGTGATAGTGTTGAATATATTTTTCCCAGTTTGTCATTTGTCTTTAAGACTTTGTTTATAGTTGTTCCTTTTTAAAGTAATTTTTTATGCTTTCATAAATCGTAGGTTTTATGTCATACTCAGAAAGACATTTCCCCATTTAAAAATTGTTATTGTTATTTCAAAAGTCAAATTTTGTTCTAACTTTTATTGTTTCTTTTTTTTTTTTGCGTTGAAATATTTGTTCCATTCAGAATTTTTTTCATTTAAATAACTAGTTTGGTATCCATTTTTATCAATTTCCCCCAAATAGCGTGTCCATGGTACCAATACTATTTATTGAATTATTTTTCATTTTATGATTTCAAAAGACACTTTTATCATATTTTTAATTTTCATATGTATCTGAATTTATTTCTAAATTCTATTCTGTTCCACTGATTTGTCATTCTCTAGTACAAAAACTGTCTTAATTATTTAGTCTTTATAATAATAGTAGTTCTCTCTCATTAGTCTTTTGGAACTTTTACTTTTTCTAGAGTAATTTCAGTATCACGTCAGTCTCTTTTACTTACACCACCAACCCCAATTACGTAGCTATTTCAATTTGGAGCTCACTGAAGGATGCATCTCTTTCCAGCTGGAAGTATGTATTTTGTCTAATTTTCCCCTTCCCAATCTAAGATCTCATGGATGGTAATTTCTGATTTGCCAATATCACAGAGGCAGGTTATAGAACAGGGTTAAAGCAATATGTAAGCTTTAACATCTGTTGATTTTAAAGCCAAGACTTAAAAGGTAATTTAAGCCAGGACATTCAACGCGAAAGCAAAAACTAACAGTTCTATTAAGAGAGATATTTTTGGACTTTAGTAACTTCAGTTAAAGTCATTAAAGCAAACAAATAACTAAGGCTCAAATGTTCTCCAAGGAAATAATTTTACCTGCTGTCCTGGAATATACGAACAATAGAATAAAGTGTTTACATTAATCCTTCCAGTTCTAAGTACTTTACTCAGGAATTCTACTAATTATCAGGTTGGTGCAGTAGTTGCGCAAAATCGGCAGAAACGGTCCTCTATGTTTCATGAAAAACGAAAATTGTTGATTCTTTAAAGAACTACACAACTTTTTACTGTGTACACTATTTTCTGTTCTTCACTGTTAAAGAATGACTACACAATTACTTAGATTGAAGAAGCAGGAGAATGTTTTCCACTCGTATGAGATCAAAGTGTATGAAGTTACCGTTAGCATGTCATCACATTTCATATCTGGCGTATCACCATCTTCACTTTTATTGTAGAATTTTCGGAAGAAGTTGAACGCTACAACAGTATATAGGTACACGACGACAGCTAATAAGCCGACAGTTAACACAAGCTGGAAGGCAATGTGACATTGAACACGTATTAGAAATACAAGACATATATGACTGGCATAGTGACACCTGTGTGTGGCGGGGGCAGTCTACAAGTACTTAGCTGGATTTACTGACTAGAAGCTGATGGGATCCATACCTCATACCATACTTTCTCAGCCCCCAGTGGGGGAAATTTATTTTCATCTTCTCTTTATTTATCAAGTTGTCAGAGTAATTTATGCAAAATTTGAGTATGTAGTTGGCTAATGAATGCATATTATAGCTGGAATATGAATAAACTGATTTAGTTTCACACCCAAAATGATATTAATAATATTAATAAGCAGCTTAAATTGTTCATTTTTCTACTATCTAAATATTTTGTAGTAGATACTACATTGAGTACTTTCTCTCTTTTTATAAGGTCTATTCCCTTTTGATAATTTACATTCCTAATAAAAACTATGTCATTTTGGTTATGATAGTAAGAAGGATTGTAAATCATTTTTTCCTTCAAGTACATCTTAAAACAGGAATTTGTATTGCTTCTAACATCTGGAAATGTACAACTGTTAATAATGTGTAATATAAATATTCAAAAAAAATAGAACTGAGAAGTCTAGCTTTGTTAACATAAAGCAATGATCAAAGTGAAAGACACCTTAATAGCTAATAACCAATGCTATTTTGAAGACTAATTTTCTCAACATATAATTAAAAGTCACAGTTCCAGCTCTACGTAATCTTTCTTTAATTCCAAACTATACGTTATACGTGTATTTTGTAGAATATGTATAAGTTAAAAATGTGACTTTCACCAAGTTGGTGAAAATATATTTCTAGTTATATCCCAGAAATTCTAAACACACTAAAACGCATTATTTTTTACGTCTACTTCCTCTGATTACATCACATCCCTATGTTCTTGACTGTGGTGGTATATATTAAGTCTTTTAAAAGCCACTTTATAATTATCTGGAGAAAACATGTTATCTTAATAGAGGGTTTAATTCACTTCTATCAATTAAGTACAAAGCCACTGTAAATTTCTGCACGTTTTACCTATAAAAACTATTAAGCTCTATGTATTTCTGCAAATGAAAAATTGATACCTCAAAAAGAAAAGGAATAATTACAAGAGTTCAGAAATTGATTGAAAGTGCTAGACCTTCGCCGTGGAAATATACAATAGATTCAGCATCTCCAGTCCTTTAAATATATTGGGAGCTCAAAATCAATTTACTAAGTGACTGATGATCAAGCAGAGTATGCTTTTTGTCACTGGACCCATAATGTGCCATGCATGTCATATTCATATTCAGAAACTAAGGTGACATATATAAGAACAACGTGCTGAAATTTAGAAAACTAAAGATCATGATAATGTGAATGGAACTGTGGACAGAGTTTGAGTTTTTTGAAAGGGCACTGATTCAAAAATATGCTGGATTTTAAGATTCTGGAAAGGAAGGACTCTGTTAATCTAAATAACTAACATAGAATGTATTCCCTCCCAATGGACACTTGATAGAGAATGAATCAATAAATGCACGCTTCTATAAGAAGTCTATTGATAATGAAAATTTTAACATTACAATTGGGTTCCATTAGAATGCAAGTTGATTATCTGGAACTAAGCCAGTTTTCCTGCAAGTAAGTAGGACCTTGTCAAGTATGAAACATTATTATTCTTTTTGTCCAATTTACAAGTAGAGAGAAGAGCACATGAATATCCAGTGTTAAGATACCACATGAACTTAAGAATGCAGCATCTCATGTTTCATTACCTGTACAACTAGTGCATCAGGATGCTGCAACACATTTTGGTTTCCCAAAGTATCAATTGGAGCAAATACCACATTAGGAACAAAATAATAACTATTTTCCTGAGTGCTTCATATGTGCCAGGGCCTGAGCTAAGACCTCCACATTTATGTTTTTATTTAATTTTCACAAAAACCCTATAAGGTCGGTGCTTTTATTGTATTCATTTTACAAAAGAAGGGAGTTGAGATTTTAAAACATTAAATAGTTTATCCAAGATCACAGCTAATTGGTCAAGCCAAGACATGAATGTGGGTCTAGGGGACTCTCAAACTCCTCCTCCTCATGGTTTATAAGAGAAAAAGTGCAGATCCTCCATTCACAAAAATTTTTAAAACTGTACATTGTCATTTGAAGTTTGGTTTTATTTTTCTTGGTATAGTTTGATGCTTTTTTGGCTTTTGCAGGGGGGAAAAAAGATAAACTTTTACCTGTTTGCCATTGTGAGTTACTGATGACAAGATGGTTCTTAACGTCTTGAATCCCATAGCAATGTCAAGAAGATGAGCAGCAAAAAAAAAGTTGTTATAGTGTCCAAGAATGGACATAGTCATATACCAGGCGAGGTAGAGGAAGGACTATTAAGACGAAACAGGGGGGAAAAGCATATCAGAAGATAGAATGCATGACTTTTGTCAAAAGCTACTCTGATTTCATTCTATTACAAGCACTCCATTTACTCTATCTTCTTAGACTATAAATTTATGTGATTCTAATTAGTTATATCAGTTGGTTTGTATATTTTATTTTTATTTAGTTTGTTCTGAAAAATTCGATGTCATTCTCTCCTTTCTCCATATCAGAGTGGCTGTTCTTACTTATCCTCCCATAGAGAAAAATGTATTGACTTACTACTCGACAGCAAGGGTTTCCAACCTCAGCACTATTGACAGTTTGGACCAGATACTTCTTTGTCGTGGGGCTGTCCTGTACATTGTAGGATGGTCAGCAGCATCCCCGGTCTCTACTCACTAGATGCCAGTAACACTCCCCCCGAGTTGTGACAACCAAAGATGTCTGCAGACATTGCCAAATGTCACATAGGGGACAAAATTGCCCCAGTTGGGACCCCCTGCTCTACAGTCAACCAAAGAACCAACCAACTCTTCCTCCTTCCTTTCTTTCCCTCTTTCATTTATTCACTTACTAACTTAGCGTTTGTTGCAACCTACTAGTTACAAGAGATTATATGAGATGTTTTATTAAGCATCTCACTTTACATGAGCCAAGATAAGTTTAGGAGAAAACTCTAATACTATCTGATGTCACTGAAGGTTGTAACAAACCTAATAATAAAATTGGTACTCTTTGTAGAAATCTTCTTGATTATAATCAGTAGAAGGGATTAAGTTTACATAGGCTAGAAAATATATATGTATATTTTTAGAGGGGGCAATAAATAAAGTAGAATAAAAGATACTGTGATCGCTCTTACTGTTTGGATTAGAGTCTCTTCTGCATGAGACATGTTTTGCCAGTGGAGACACGAGCTACCTACTTGGGGAAGGGGTGGAAACCTTCATTTTGACTCTAATATATCTAATCTTTAACAGAGAACAAAAACAAGGTAGACAGGGCTGAGGTGGCACAAGAGATTTCATGGACAATGTGGGACTGAAGTTAGAGATCAAGTAGAAGAAAACAGACACTGAGATAAGACTATGCAGAGTGTGCTCGGGAATGATGGTTTGGTTTGGTGGTGAGTTTCTGTTTCAGAAAATGAGGCTGCAAAAGTACAGTGGGGTTGGAAGGCCTCGAGGCCAAGTTAAGGGATATGGGCAAATCCCATAGGCACATACGAGCCACTGGAACATCGTGAACAGAATAATGGTATGTGAAAACTGGCATTTTATGGAAATTTCTTGAGCTCCTACTAAGTGCTGGTCAGTGTCCCATATATCTGCACATACAGTCTCTCATTTTATTCCTGCAAGACCCCTGATAAACAGGCAATTTAGCTCTAATTTAGAAATGAGGAAAGTGAGCTCACTCAAGTTAAGCTACTTTCTAAAAAATGTTGTTAAGTAGCAGAGCCGTTAAATTCGAGGTCTACTGGCCAAGCCCACCGGCGGGGTTATGAGAACCACAGCTAGCAGCAAAATCAGTAAGGGCAGAAGGGAGAATTACAAAGGACAGAAATAGGATCAGGATCAGGCAAATAACTAAATGTATATATTGGAAGAAGGAAAAGAAGGAGTCTGACCTAGTAATTTGAGCTTGGGTAGCAAGAAGAACAAAAATACTAACCGAGAGAGGAAGTTGTGGACAGGGGACTGAATTAGATGGGGAGGAGCGGAGGAGAGAGAAGATGAGAAATTTGCCATGGGACATTCAGATGGAGATCTATAATAGGCCAATAAGAAATGCAAAGGCTGAGGAAAAAGGACAAGTTTGTGGGCAGAAGACGAGATGTACATAAGTGATAAGCTGAGTCAGGGATACACGTGTGGACTGTACCCTGGTGCTGTGCTTAGGTAGCTAGATTTAGCAAATAAAAATACAGTTAAATTTGAATATCAGATAAAGAATAAATAATTTTTAGGTTAAGTATGTCCCATACAATATTTGGGATATACTTATGCTAAAAATTATATATATATATTTAGCTATCTGAAATTTAAATTTAATTGAGAATCCTGTATTTCATCTGGTAATTCTAGCTGTGTTTCAGAGAGAAACTGTGCTACTGAAGACTGAATACATGTTGAGAGGTGATTGGCCAAACAGAAGCCAGGAAACTGCAGGTAGATGAACGCCTAATAATATATCCGAAAGACGTCTGAAGAAGGTTCTTCAGACTTCCTCCAGGATCTGTCCATGCCCAAATTCTCTGGAGGACAAGAAAACTACACAGCAAAGTGAATATTATAGACAAGATGCACCTGGCAAAAGTGGGCTACGCAAGTCCTGTGGCACAGAGAATTGACCTTAGCAGGCAGAAGCCAAGATGGCCTGGCTACTTGAATGGAAAACACCAACGCTGGAGTCGAGGTGGCCTCCTTTTTATTCAGGGGAGTTGCTTCTATTATTAGATGAGAAAGTGGCTACAAATCACCTTATTAACGGTTGATGATTCTACAAAATACGTATAAGACTCGATTTTGAGCTCTTAGGAAGGTTCTGTAAGAGACCCAGAGTTCTGGGCCCATGGCTGGGTGAGGCAGGGGTGGGTATGATAGAGGCAGGAGAATTTTGGGGGTGTCATAGGTCTCTAGGAGAATGGAACTTACATTCACTATAAAAGTCAGTACTAAAACCAGAGTGAGATTTGGAGACTAAATGAGATGTCCAAGGGAGAAAGAACAGCAGAGGTATAGGGCTAAGCCTTCAGGTATGTTCATATGTTCCTATGTGCAGCAGGGTGTGAGGATGGTGAGAGGATTATGAAGCAGCAATGAGAAGATGGGCTGAGATCTACAGCAAAAATGTGTAGTTGACCTATTCAGTGAGTTTCATGATTCTCCCAGCAACTTCCCACAGCCAGCAAATGGGAGCATCAAAATAATCAATAGTAACAAGTATTTAAACTGAAAATTCTAAGAATCACAAATGTCAAGCTATTGAGTGAGCTAGGGTAGCAAAATGTGATTATTTGCCCTGACAACTGTAGCTTTTAGCAATAGGTGATTTTTTGGGGGCGGGCTCCGTGGCTTAGCGGTTAAGTGCGCACGCTCTGCTACTGGCGGCCTGGGTTCAGATCTGGGCACACATCGACTCACCGCTTGCCCGCCCATGCTGAGGTGGCGTCCCACATACAGCAACTAGCAGGATGTGGAACTATAACACACAACTATCTACTGGGGCTTTGGGGAGAAAAGGGACAAAAAGGAAGAAGATTGGCAATAGATGTTAGCTCAGGGCCAGTCTTCCTCAGCAAAAAAGAGGAGGATTGGCATGGATATTAGCTCAGGGCTGATCTACCTCACAAAAAAAAAAAAATAGGTGATTTTTTTTTCATTGTATTTGAATATATACTTGGGCCCTATGTTTAGTTCATAGGCTCTTAGGCTCTTTGATAAAAGAAGAATCAATCAAGAAAAAAGAGCACAACAATTTAATTTACGGGAAACTTAAATTGATCACAGTTAATGTTTAAATTTTTTTTTTTTTGTGAGGAAGATTAGCCTTGAGCTAACATCCAATGCCAATCCTCCTCCTTTTGCTGAGGAAGATTGGCCCTGGGCTAACATCCACACCCATCTTCCTCTGCTTAATATGGGACACTGCCACAGCATGGCTCGACAAGCAGCGTGTTGGTCTGCGCCTGGGATCTGAACCTGCCAACCCCGGGCCACTGAAGCAGAGCGCGCAAACTTAACCGCTACGCCACCAGGCCGGCCGCTAAAAATTTTTTTTAAATATATTTAGAACTTCTTTTTAACATCTATAAAACTTTGAAGTATGCCATTGCTTAACTAAAATCTGAGTGATAATACACATGAATTCCCAACTCAGTTTCTTTTTCTTGTGTAAATATATTTTCATTTTAGCTTTCAGCTATTGAAAGAAATGTAATGAGAGATGAGCTGATTAATCATATAGTTCCGTGGGTCTTTCTCAGATATGGTCTGTATTAAATGAATTGATATTTGAATAACTTTCTTAAATATCCATCCTTCCATCTGCAGAAGCCCAACAGACTCATCTAATCAGAGTGCATTTTACTTTGTGGTAATGAAGCTGGCTTACGTTGTCAGTGAAAACGACTCCTAGTTTCCACATCTGATACTTCACATCAATAGAGTTCAGTCTGGAAAGACAGAAAAGAATTTGTAGATATGCACATTAAGCATAGACTCATAGGCTCGCAAGAGCCTGCTGCCATTCACTTTCTTTTTTTTCTCCCCCCAGTTTTATTGAGATATAATTAACATATTGCAATGTATAAGTTTAAAGTTTACAGCATAATGGCTTGACATGTATCTATATATTACATTACATATATTGCGAAATGATTATCACAAGTTTAACATCCATCATACAGCTTCAAAAAAAAAATGTTTTTCCCTTGTGATGCGAACTTTTAGGGTTTACATGGGATGAGACTAGTCAGCATCTCAGGAGATTAGTTCTAGCCCAGGTGCCAAGAGAAGCACTGGGAGCCCCCTTGGACAATGTATTCCAGAGTTTTGTGATGCTTTTTTAGAGGGATCTTGGAAAACAAAACAAAACAGAACATCACCACCTTCATCTTCTATTATTTAAGAATAGTCCTTTCTTTTTCACCTTTTCTTTTCTTACATCAAATATAAACTCACTTTATATGTAACAATTATTCCTGGAAATGGTACGAAATTAACCAAAAGGTGTGTACCAAAGGTTTCCTCACTAACTTTCATTATACATTTGTAATTGCATTCCAACAGAATAATTTTTAGTTCGGCTAATGAAAACCTGCATAAATGTCCACAGTTATTTTACAACTATACTGAGTTTGCCAATGAAAGGGCTTTTTCATTTTGTTTTTGTTTCCTTTTTTTTTCAGAAACCTCACCTTCTCAATGCAAGATGGAATCTAACCCTTCCCCTCGGTTCCCATAGCACTTTGTAGACACCTCCCTTTACGATCACTTCCTACGTTGTTTTGTGCTAGTAGGTGTGTACCTAAGGACATGTATTTACGCTTTGTTCATTCGTCTGTGAACTCCCCAGCACTAACCACGTTATATCGCACACTGAGTATCTCTCAATAAATATATGTTGAATGAATGAATCTTAGCATAAATATTCATGATCTTTGCAGATTAAAATACACATAGTAAAATAGACTCTTTAATTTTCATTGTTTCAGAACATGCCACTGATTTATGGGTTAGAAATTACAATACTTTGTTAGCCTTTCCAATATGCCAGGTAATTGATATGACAGGATATGATATAGTACAATATAAAATTAGTACTATTTTCAAAAGGGCTTCTCTAGACTTACTGTTTTAGTCTTATAATTACTTCTTTAATCATTTCTTTTAATTAGGCCAATCTTAAATTATAAGTGCTAGGATAAGTAGTTGCTAAGCAAAGCTGACTTAGAAGACCTTCCCCCTAGGGGGTAAGGTTTAATTTACCTTAGCCTAGGATTTTTTTATTTTAAGGAAATAAAGTTGTCTTTGAGCTATAATCAATTTTATTATTAAAGAACATTTTTTTAAAGTTCCATGAATATTTACAATGGGTTTCAACATAAAAATAATTTTTCTTAAATAAAAAAGGAAGAGATGGAAAAAAATAAACAATGAGGCAATTTGCACGAGAGCATGATTATTTTCCACGAAAGCAATTGAAAATAAAATAAAGGTTTATATCAGGATGTCTGAACTTCCCATGGTAGTTTCTTACTTTATTTAAAAAATTATTTTTATCATTATTTTCCATCCTTATCATACACCAGGGTGACAAGTTTGCTACCAACATCACTAAGCAGCATATCCTTTCTGTAGTGCACAATATTCTTTCCTCACCAATTGCGGTAGTGATGCTGTCTGGATGGGGCTGACCCCACCACCCCTGGGGACTGGCCATAGCTGATCTAGACCAATCAGAGCACAGCATTCCCCTGGCCACAGGGCTTGGTTCAGGGGTAAACTATAAGCCAGAAGGTGAGGAGTTATGCTAGGCAGTTTTGAGAGATGAACTCCCCCTGTTACTCCATGAAGACACAAATGAAGAAGCACGCAGGCTTTCTGGTTACTGGCAGCCATTCTATCCCCAAGAGGCAAGCTGGCCAAGTACTTACTTACTTACTTACTTACTTATTTATTTATTTGCCCTGAGCTAACATCTGTGTCAATCTTCCTCTATTTTGTATGTGGGACGCCTCCACAGCATGGCTGATGAGTGGAGTAGGTCTGTACCAGGGTCTAAACCCGTGAATCCAGGCCCCCAAAGGGGAGCGTGTGGAACTCTAACCACTCTGCCAAGGGGCCAGCCTCTGGCCACCTATTTAAATGTGCACATACAGGGGCCGGCCCTGTGGTGCAAGCGGTTAAGTGTGCGTGCTCCACTGCGGCGGCCCGGGGTTCGCCGGTTTGGATCCCGGGCACACACCAACGCACCGCTTGTCAGGCCATGCTGTGGCAGCGTCCCATATAAAGTGGAGGAAGATGGGCATGGATGTTAGCCCAGGGCCAGTCTTCCTAGGCAAAAAAGAGGAGGATTGGCAGATGTTAGCACAGGGCTGATCTCCTCACACAAAAAATAAATAAATAAATAAATAAATGTGCACATACCAAGCCCCATTATTTGATTGATAAATAAGTGCATGAACAAATGGAGACATGAAGTTTCCTTGTATTCAAATGTTCAGATAATTTTCATATAGAAACCAGATAATCTTTTTTTTTTTTTTTTTTTTTTTTTCCCCCAAAGCCCCAGTAGATAGTTGTATGTCATAGCTGCACATCCTTCTAGTTGCTGTATGTGGGACGTGGCCTCAGCATGGCCGGAGAAGCGGTGTGTCGGTGCGTGCCCAGGATCCGAACCCGGGCCGCCAGCAGCGGAGCCCACGCACTTGACCGCTACGCCACGGGGCCGGCCCCAGATAATCTTTTAAAACGTGATCTTTCTAAACACTTTAAAAAAGGAACACTACATGTAAATATTTTTCCAAGTAATGTACATTATTTACTAAAAGATTTTCATTCTTCTAATTTTATTATTTATATTTAAAGGTATTAATAAATGCCACATTAATTTCCTGGTACTTTGCTGGGGGTCAAATTTGCAAACGTTTACTATGTAAAACAGTGTAATATTCCACTAATTTAAAATTGTTTGTTCACAGTAAAAAAAAGTCTAAACTTTCCTTTGATTTTTTTCAAATTTATTTTTTAGAGTCACAAATATGACCGTGGAAAATGTATAATTCAGTAAAATTATTTAATTCTACATTGCTTATCAGGGATCTAAAAATGTTAGTAGGAAACTCAACACCATTCACACCACAGTCTTTGTTTTATATGATAGTCTAACACCAGGGCCTTTGTTCCTAAGGATGGTCAACTGTACTTCATCTTATAGACAATGATATAGTCTTTAAGTACCATACTTGTTTTCTTAAAATATCCAAGAAATATTTTGGATCTAAATTCACAATTTCTGTCATATATTTGCTTATCTAACTACTTTTCAACTGGATTCACGTTATTTCTAAAGTAACCCAAGTAGCTCCAACAAGTTTTCAGACAGATAAAAAATATATGACCAATGAGATAGGTCAGCCAAAATACTTTTTTTAATGCTAACTAAAATATTTATCTAAGACAAAATAATACTGTTCTACAGAACCTAAAATATTTATGTTTTCAAAGTATCATCACATCCCTCACTGACTGAGACCATAAATAGATAAGAAAGGTTGAAATGTTTTAAGGGAAGGTCACTATTATGTTTCTGCTAAAATTGTTAAGTGGTTATGATAAGAAATTACATTTTGAAAGTATGTATGCTTTACATTTATTCCAGAAATACAGTTGATTAAATTTGCAAAATAGATATATATGTATACTCACACTATACATATACATGTGTGTGTGTAAAATTCAGTCTCAGGTGAATTCAATTCAACTGGTTTACATCTTTCTAGTTATATCATAACATGTTATTCCATGCAAGCACTATATTAAAAGTGCCTCATTTTAAAGTAAACTTTCCAAGTAATAGTATGCCAGCATAGTATTTCTGACATACAAAGTCTTTGCCATTTAAAGAAAGCACAATAATTATAATAAAAGGATTTAAACTTTGAACATTTCTAATAAAAGGGATACATACTTCCTTTTTCCAAAACCTAAGAAAATAAACTTCTTTTCAAATGGGAAGCATCAGAAAACAGAGTCATATATTGCAGTTTTGCATATGTTTTATTTTGACTTAAGTGGCATTTAAGGATAGAAAAGACAAATTAAACTAAGAACATAAGTCTTCTTTATTTTTTCTTCTTTAATGTAAATAACAAAAAAGGCACCTTCAAAAATTAATAGAAAAAAATCTAATCATTCCAGAGGCCCAAATACTCAGAAGTATAAATGTAGACTGTCTATGCATTCTGTTTCTCTCATCTCTCTATTCCTTTGACACTGAAGCAAAGGAAAGCAATGCACAAGCAAGTCAGAAATGTATTAGTTTTCTCTTCTTTCTACCTGGACCTATAGGAGACAGCAGAAGTAACACTCACACAGCTGATAGGGAGCTGTCTTTCTTTGGCTTCTTCTTTTCCCGGGCGTCACTGAAGTCCAGAGCAGCTTTGTCCATGCCAAGTAACTCGCTGATTCTATCTCGGCCATAGAACTCCCCGTATTTATCCATAACCTGGAGGCAGGAAAGGAAAGTATTGTGCTGGCCTCAACCACTAAGTAATATCAACTATGTATGTGCATATAAACATCTAATTACTTTTATACTTAGAATATATTTGTCTTATTTTCAAGTTCACTTAAAAATCTAGTTTATGGCTCATTTTCTGTGATTACACTACCTAAGGCCTAAGCACACTTACAGCATTTTAAGTAATATCTATCTGAGGAACAAGATTTCTTCTGCAAGAGAAGGAAGCAAGTGATAGAAAGAGGATGGGCTGAAGTCAACTGCTAAAGAAGTGGGAGGAAATGGAATGAAAGTAACTTCTACCAAATTCATACTTTGTGCCAGGAATTACGCTAAGAACTTTAACCTGCTTTCCCTCATGAGACTGTCATAATGTGTAAGTTTTGTGTCATTAGTATTCTATTCCGCAGAAAAGGAAATTGTGTCTTAGAAAACATAACATGCCAAGGTTGCCAAGCTTGGCCAGAGAGGGGTGAGGAAGCATCTGGGCAGTGCCTGACTCCCAGCAAAGATCTTCTGCACAGACCATTGCAGGCTACTGGGCTGGCCACCACAGAGAGGGCATCCCCTCCGCAGTCTCCACTGCAACTGTTCAACTCTCCCCGTAGTACCCTGACTCCAGCAATTCTTCAATAACACCTGGACCTGGAACCCTGTCACCATCCTCATGTCCTCAGTTTAATTCTTATCTAGTGTAGCTTCCTTGTCCATTACTAAAGTTACTTCTTAGCCACCCCCTTCGGCTTTCTTGTCCCCTCTCCTTCTGTCCCATTTGCCTGGCTTTGCCCACGTGTCGTGTTTTCAGATCAGAGCTTAGACAGGGGCTCCCAGCTCACCCTTGAGCTCAGTATGTCGGACGCTGTGATAGAGCGACTCTCAGCCCACAGTTAACACACCACAAAAGTCCACACAACGATGACAATGGAGGGAACGAGAAAAGGAATGAAGGAAAAGCAGGAGGAAAGAGAACTGGCAGCGAAAGGTGAAAAGAGGGTAGAAAAGCAAAGAACAGGAATACAGAAGAAACAAAGGAAATGAGAACGAGGGAAAAGGAGACGGGGGATGATAAAATAGAAGATTGGAGTAAATGAAGGAAAAATACACAAATGGAAAGAAAGAAAGGATTGGCAGAAATAAAAATTGGCATTTTCTGAATATACACAATCAGGTAAATGAAAAGAAAACATAAAGAGCAATGGTAGTTAAAAAGCCTATGAACATATACAATTTAGGTTAATTAAAACAATTTGTTTTGCCTTATTCTCACAGCACTGAAAATGGTCTGGGCTGATCTGAGTGGGAGTTCTCTAAGGATTGTATTCTCACCCCGTTCCCAGGAAAAAAAATTGGGGATGAGAGGAGGAATGCTGTGAAGAGTCTTAGCTGCAATTACAATTTATCTACGTATTTGACTCTAAATACAGAGTTTCCTTCATAGAAATTCTTGCTTTAAAATTTAGAAGCTTCTTCTTTATTCTGTTAAATAAAATATTCAAATTATCTATTTAAAATTACGTAAAAATTATTTTTCCAAAGCTTTTGCCTAATTTGGATGTGCTCGTATGCAGAGTAGAACACAACTCAGAATGCCAAGTCATAGGAGACACAACACTTGCACCAAAATAAAAATCAACAAACATGCTGCTTCTTTCAACTAAAAAGTCTTGTTAGTTAAAAAAAAAAAAGTCCATGTGCTTCATGATGTAATTGATTTAAATTCCTGGTGCAAGCTCCATATCTCCCTTCAGAGCGGTAACAAAAAAACTGTGGCTGCTAGTGGCCGAGCATCCTCTGAGCAGCGCTGAGCTGGTGGAATCAAAGGGAAAAGACCACTTTTCATTCGACAGATATTTCAGCCGTCCGTTCCAGACTGTCTACACTGGAGCTGATCTCATTATGGAACAGACGGTGAATTGAGTCAGTTTGGCAATTAGGGGGGTTCAAGGAATAAGTAGGAGCTAGAAAATAATGATGATAGTGTTTTACAATGTACAGGAACTGTTACATACATTATTTCTGACAAGAGATTTTCACATATTGAGATATATGGGGTAACTATTTGGGTTCAAAACTGATTCGGCTTGAACTAAAGAAGTCTGACTTAACGGCCTATCAAACATACATTGTATGTCTGCTTTAACCATTAAAGTAAAGAATGCACTCTCTTAAGATAAGAATGCATACTTCCCCTCCTACGCCATATTGGTAACAGGGTATTTGTCCCTTTCCCAACATCAGGGTCCTGTTGACCTGCTAATTTGCAACTAAATATCTCTTTGAAACTTTGATGAAAATGTATCCTGAGTGTGTTTAATGTATGTTCTTGTTCTAAAAAGACTATACTGAAAACCATGCTTCTCGGAACACTTTCTTCCTTTCTAGAAAAGGCCTTCCCGTTATAATCCTCACTCTGACCGTAAAACTCACCTTATTTCTCTTATCTATAGAATGGTTATGGCTATTGGTTATTTGTGTTGACCTTTCATTAAAAAAACAAAGTGATCTACATGAAAATCCTGTGGTAGGAAGAGGAGAGATGATCCTTGACTCTCATACTCAGAGCTTTTGTAGGTGCCACAGTCCATAGCTGAATCCATCTCAGCATTCTTTCTACCGCCCTCTGATGCAGTCTGCATCAGAATAAAACTTTATAAAAATAAAAGATCTTTAAAGTTATATAAATAAACAAAAGTCAGTCCTTTGTTGTGTGGGAGATCAAGATTTGGCCACCTTGTAATCTATCTCTTTACCTTGGTTGTTTTCTCTAGGGACAGTTGACCTCCCCCACTAACTGCCTAAAGAATTTGACATGGTGGCTCCTTCCTGGAACAGATCTATCATGATGGCTATAAAGATAACGTAGGGTAAATGTTACAATAGGAAAGGCACCAGCAAGCCCCTCTTATCAGAAGTTCTGTCTCTCTGGCCACATTCTCTGGATGACCCTGCGAGGAGGTGCCAGACAATCATTTACATTTATAAGGGAAATCTCCATTTGTAAAGGTATCTCCCTCTCTGTTTTGAGAAGAGAGGGGGATGAGCTCATTTCTAGTGACTTATCAATGTGGAAGGTGAGGCCTTGGGGTTGATAATAACCTTACTCTTGTTTACTGTGCTTTAGTGGTAATCTCCTGTAACTGACTCCCCCAACCCCCAAAATCCTCCTTTGTCATTGGCTGAACATGGTATTTAAGACGAGAATTTCTGCTATTGTGTGGAGAAACACAGTGTCCCTGCTTTCTCCCATGTATACATGTTATTAAACTTGGTATTATTTTCTCCTGCTAACCTGTCTTGTTAATTATTTGGCCAGCCATAAGAACCTTAAGGGAAAGGGCAGAGGGAGATTCTCCCTCTTCCCCCAACAGTTGTCATGCAACAAATTGACTTCTTCAGTGGAAAGGAGGATCCCAGCCCTCATGACTTACCAGCAATCTTAGCAGAAAACGGCCTTCAGCCAATTTAGGTTACCCAAACAGCCTCAGAGAGGATTCTTACCAGTTCTTGTTAATGTGTGGCCTGAGCACTGTTTATTCACCTGAGTCAGAGAAAGGGTGGAGGAAGGAGTGCCTATTTATTTTGTAGCTGCAGAGTATGGATTTCTTATGTGCCATTTTTGAAATTCATCTTCAATTCTACCACCATTTTGAAATGACATTAACAGGCAGATAAAGCACACGTCAGTATCTCATGCTACATACGAGCCACATCAAATTCAAATCTGAATTGCACTTTCGGAAGAAAAATACAGAATTTATTCCTTCTTAGAAGTATTACCTTTCTTTTAACAAATTTGTCCCAGTAGTTGTTGGGAAACGACCTAAAAGATATGAAAGCATAAATGTAAAACATTGTCATTTTTAAAAATGAAAAATAACATACTGTTTGGAATATACAAAATACTTAAAATAATATGCAAATCATGGGTATATTAAACATTATTTTAAATCTTAATATATAAATATATACATGTAAATCACAAAAAGACTACAGGGTAATATTTTTATGGAGAAGAATATGAGAATATTTATTAATAAGCAGTCCTTATCTTTTTTATTTATAATGTGTCAATACATACACTTCTTTGTCAACTGTCTTTAAAAACTAAAGTATCTAAAAAAATCTGTCATTTTTTTTCCTATGAAGTAAAAAAATCTCATTCCCACTAGTTATCCTCAAGGACACTTTGAGCATGGCACCAAAAACAGGACTCTGCTACCATGATCAATATAGAATTCACTTAAAGGGAGAGACTTGATTAGATTTAGTATCAACAGCTAGAGTTGCTAAATAAAACATCAAGCATTTAGAGTAAACATTTACAATTCACAAATAAAACATCCTCATTTGAAAACTCAGAACCTATCAGAAATAATGACTTTTAATAATAAGCAGAACTAATCACAATTAGAAAAAAAGATATTTCACTTTTGAGAAGTACAAACTATACTTTTGTGATGGATTTATACTTGAAACAGCAGCTAGTAGTTTGGATCTTGATCTCACAAGGCTAAATAATTAGTGTCCAGAAAAAGCATTTGTTTTCCTGTCTTATATTTCACATGTCATAATGCTTAGCTAGTTTTATGCTAGGCTGCTTGATGGTACCAACTAAAAGTTTACAAGTTAGACACATTAAAAGTGTGAAATTCAATATTTTTTCCTTTAATGCCACAACTCTTTCCTTAATGAATAATTTTTGCTTCCTCTGTGCTTTTGGCTGAGATAAGCCCGCACTGTAGGTTATGTACCTCCAGCTACACACTTCCCTGAACACTGAGTAATGGATGTTAAGTTCCATCAGTGCTGTGGGAATGGACTCAAAGCCATTTCTGATTAAGGAATTCAGAACACAGAGGGCAAAAATTGATGGCATCCATTAAGAGGCTGACGGCGTTAGTCTTTTGATTTTCTTGGCTGAATATATAACTATTTTTCACCTCTCAAACTTTTGACAAATCTGCAGAAACTCCAGCAAAGTATTTTTTGTCTTAAAATTTCTGAGCACAGAAATGTCACACATAATTCTTTACTCACTGTGTGTTGATTACCAGTCTATCCCACTGGCCTTTAATATCATCTTCAGAAGGCTGTTCTGTAATATAAAGCCCATCAAATTCCAATTTTCGAGCTACTTCTTTTTCTCGTTTAAAAATAACCAATGGGACCTACATTTGAAAAATAAACATGTTAAAATTAGTTTAGATTTACTGGCATCTCCCGTGGTCACTATCTTTACAAAACAGCTTTTGGAAAGAAATATTTCCCATGTTAACTTCCAGGAAGGTAAAAATTGAGTGAAAATGAATTGGCTATATTTAGACAGAAAGAAGAATCTAGAGGTTTTAGAAAAACAGGATAGAATAGATATTATATATATGCATATGTTTCTAAACACATAGAAGTTCATAGATAATTGCACTAATAAAATCACTTTTAAGTATTAAAAAGATTATGCAAAATTATTTTTCTTTTGCATATTATATACATATATATATAGCAACACAAATGGATGAAATAAAATATAGCAATGTTACTAATGTTCCAAAATGCATGCTTCTAAAAAAATGCAGTTTTATTTGAGAAATCTCTTTAATAATTCCATGCTCAGCATGCCCACATGCTATTTTGAAATAAATTTTAATCTCAACATCAGCAAAAATCTTTGTCAGTTTGCCAAAATATCTCCAGAACATATTAATTCTCTTTTCATACGAACAGACTTTACACAAGGCACAGATACAAGAAAGATGCAGATATTCTGCAAGTATCCAAAAATATCCTCTCCCACAAACAAGGGAAGAAAAGGGAGGGGGAGGAGTCTCTGAAGAAAACTTTACATTCTAGTATGTTACCCTGCGCCCTAGTTTTTCAAAAGTCTTCTGGAAGCTTCATAATCAGAGGCCGGGGAGAGTGAAATAAAGGCATTACAGTGAAAAGGCATCTTGCTAGGAAAAAATAAAGAGGTTTGTAAAGGTAACCGGCAGCTCAGAGCACTCAGAGAGACTGTCTTGAGTTCTATTCACCAAATTATATTATTCCCTTGGTAGGGCTCTGGGGATAGAGCTGCATTATTTTCTGGGTGAAGTACGACAAACTGTGAAGCATTTCTGCCGAAGATGGCAATAGATACATATCTAATAACATAACGATCGAGACGACTCATAGGTTCGATATGACGTATTTCTATAATTCCTAATCCACTGGAGCATTGCTAGGAGCATAGTGGGTGGGTCACCTCTGTGGGGTCAAGTTATAGGGGAAATTGGCCACTATGTTAATAATACCAATATGTGAAAGAAAGCTACCTAAGACAGCCCAAGGCCATATCCCCTTCCCAGGGCAGCGTGCAGCCAACGACTGGTATACATAGAGCTCTAAAGGCTGGGCTCCAATGCCCTAGGACAACCCTGAAGGGCATCCCAGTTTCAGAGACTGAGGCCTGTGACTGTGCCCTATTGCATCTGCACTGTAGCCCCATTTTTCCCTCTGTTTCACCCTGCTTCCTCCCCTTGCCCCACAGGTGTTGATTCATGGGACATTCCCTAATAAGCTTTGTCCCTGTAATTTCCATTTCAGAATCTGCTTCCCCAGAAGTCCAACCTGCAACAGACATGCACACACACAGACACATACAGGTACCTTGGTGCCTTACTATCTTACTTTCAAGCAGTAGTATCCTATGATGCAGAAGAAAGAAATGACTGTGTGGAGAATAGCTAAGATACGCAACGTGGGCTCCATGTAGCCGCTGCTCTCCTCCAGAACATAGTGAACTGCGATGATTCGAGGCGAGCCGCTGTCCAGGCTGCTAACTCTGGCATTTTCACTTGAACTGCGAGTGGGGAGCTCCTTTCCTTCAACCACAGAAGAAGTGGAGACCTGATTCAAACCATTTAAAGTATGGTCAGTTCACTTCCTCTAAGACATCAGTGTAAACCAGAAACAACGGAAACTCAGCCTTATCAGCAAACAGCTTGACGTGAAACCAACTGTACAATGAAAAGACTAAAAGCCAAGGCTAAAAAGATAGCTTTTCAAAAAGCAATGGCAAATAATGAACCCACTTTTTAAATTCCTTCTAATCTAATCAAGAGTTACGAGGATTCCCATGCATGCAGGAAAAAATGAGATGGCTAAACTGCCTTCTCAATTATCAAAAGAATTTAACGTAATACAGGGATGCCATACCCAGATACAGTAACAGGTGAGATATTCAGCCAAATTAGGCTAGGAAGACTGGGGGTGATCCCCGTGCCAAATCAGTCTTCAGCTGAGGCATTTCTCACTTGGGTCAGAGGAACAGATCTATCCCTGCCCCAGTCAACACTCAGTGGTGTGCACAAGCCTTAGGATTTATCTTTCATCAAAATATATTTTAGAAGAACTTTAGATGTGCTCAGTAGTGGATCTGTGAAATCTTTGCTTTCAATTCAGTCTATTTGTGGTTTCATAATAGTTATTAAAAGACTAAGATGTACGTACCTTATAAAAAAGCAAGATGAAATTGATTGCAAATGCGACAAATAAGGCCAACATTCTCATGTTGTAAAAGTTGCGAGCAAAATAGTTCTGAAGGTGAAAAAGATTATTAAATGGTCACTGAATCAAGAGACTTGAAATTTGCAGACAATTTAAATAAAGCATCCATTCATTTACCCAAAACTATTTCTTGAGAGCCTACTATATATCAAGTACCATTCTTGGTGCTATAGACATAATAGTGAATAAGAAAATTTGGGCCACCATGGAGGAGACAGATAATAAAGAAGCATACTCACAGATCAAAAACATAATTTCAGGGAATGCTAAATGTTGTAAAGAAAAAGCCATGAGGTTAAGGGCTTAGGGAATGGGGGTGTTATTTTAGATAGGTGGTCAAGGAAAGCTTATCTTAGGAGGTGACATTTGAGTAGAGGCCTGAATGCCGTAGGGGAGCAAGTCAAGCGAACAACTGGGGGAGGGTCTGTCAGAGAAAGAGACCATGGCTGGCAAGGTTTTGGGTTCAGAGTGATGCTGATGTGTTTGAGGAACAGTAAGAAGGAAGCACAGGGAGAAGAGGAGAGAGGGGAGGTAATGAGGTCAGAGAAGTGAGCGGGGAACAGAGTTTTGCAGGCCTCTGATAAGTTTATGTTGTCTCTTACAGTGCAGTGGTTCAGTTTATGACCTCCGGGGCCATGTGCCTGGATGTGAAGCCTGCCCTCACCACCTCCTCGCTGTGGGATGTGGACCAGAGACTCAGTCACTCTTGTAGCATTACGTTCCTCATGTGTAAAGTGGGGATAACAACAGAACATTTCTCATAAGTTTGCTATGAGGATTAGATAAATTAATCCAGGGAAAGTTACTTATTAATCTTGTTATTATGATTAGAATTATTATTTTATTCTAGGTGGGATGGCAAGCTACTGGAGGATCTAAAGTGGGCTTGATGCAATCAGATTATGATTTGGAAAGATTATTCCAGCTACTGTGTGGAAACAGACAGGAGACAAGAGAGAGGAAGCAAGGGGACCAGTCAGAAAGTTATTCCAGGGGTGCGGGAAGAGATGGCATTGATGGTGGTAGCTTGGACCAGGGGTAGCTGTGGAGATGGTAAGAAATGGGCAGACACTGGTTATATTTGGAAGAAAGAGCTGTAGAGAATTACTGTTGGATTGTATTTGAGGTGGGAAAGAAAGAGAGGACTCAGATGATATATTCTGGATTTGTGGGTCTGAGCAACTAAGTAAATGGTTGGTGCCATTTCTTGAACTGGGGAAAAAACCCACACAACCTAGAGGAAAAGTGGATTTAAGGAAAAAGGCTATGGGAGATATCAAGTATTTGTTTTCATATTAATTGGGAGATGTCTATAAGGTTGATATGCCAGGGGCTTTAGCATCATAAGGCCATATCAAAATGACAACACATCTCAATATCCTCTCTGTACACACACCCCATTTTGGTGGTGTCATCTCCCCACACATGATCCTGCCTTTATTGCCACAGCTTATTGGACCAAGGCTGGCCCCCACACCACACTGGGTCAATCACACGGGTTCTCCTTAGAAGGTGGAACTGGGTCATAGAGGCTGAGTTAGTTACCCTGGTTAACTGAGCTGGGAGCTCACAAAGACTTGGGGGCCAAGGGGCCTGTGGTGGTCTGATGTGGCCATGACTAGTCTTGTGCAAGCAAATCGGTGAGTAGAGAAAGTCATACTGCAAAGAGAAGCAGGAAAATAGGAACTGCAGAGGTAAGAGAATATTGACCCTTGAGACAGAGAGATGGAAGAAAACCTCAATTACTTGCTTTACACAACTGTAGTTAAACATAGTCCACATAAACTGTAGTTAAATGTAATTCACTGGGGCTATTGCAAGTTATCGTGGAGCCCATTCAGCCTCATCCACACCACACCTGCAGCCATGGCAACTATGACAACATATCCAATTAGTGATTATCCAGAGTTATCTAGAAAATGTTTATGTTCAGTGTACTTTGTACTAAACAATATAGGGAAAATACAAGATAGGTTAAGAAAACAGTTAAAACTATTAATTAAAATATATGTTTGCACAAATTACATAAAAATATGTAATATATATTTATCCATAAGCAGAATACATAATTACTGAGGACAATCCATTTCCCTTATAGGTGAAGTTCTATAGTACACTGGGTTTCTTAATTGGCTATTTTTGATTTCACAAAGGCTGTGAAACACTAAATATGATTTTGTCTTTCAAGTGGCTTTATTATGAGGAGCGTTGTTCTTAATTTCTAGGTCTGACATTATTGATCAGTATCTCTTGTAGATTTATTCTGCACACTCATCTCCCAACCTTTTCCTTTAAAAAATTATATATTTGTACACACATACACATATATAAAAGGTCTTTCAAACAATATTTTTAAGAATTCCATCCTGTATGAGTATGAATAGAGATAGAGAACTACATCTTCTTTCTTTGTTTTCCAAATATGAATATGTATTTTATTAATTTGGGGAGCATATCTGCAAAATGTATAGGACACTACATAAAGAACTATCTTCTCTTTCTTCGTTCTTTTTTTTCATTTCTACTGAAAGAATAATTTTGAATAGATTTTCTTATTATCAATGGAAAATTCGCTCACTGTATTAATATTTTTATAACTGGTTTTTAGTAAAAGGGTGATGTTCTAGAAATACCGACTAACCCAAATCTGGAACATCTGTATGAATTACTTGTACCCTAGAAGGCATGTTTTGCTTAAATGTATCGCAGAGCTTCACACAGTGTCCCGCAAAGAGTGGAGTGTCAGAATATATTTATTGACTTGCCCTAAAGTCTTTGTGGTTGCACTGTGCTGGCGGTCACTAAGTCAAATGGTTTCTGGTAACGTGAATGTGTGCAGAGGTTATGGGTTTGACAACAGGGAGCAGTGGACCAAAGGCATTCATTATAAAATATAAACACACAAAGACGGGTAAATAAAACATACTTGCAGGACTGACTTGGTTCCCTGACTGCCACTCAAGGGAAGGTCAGTGAATATTTACTGAGCCTGAATTATTATGGCCTCACAATACATCAGTAACAATATTCATTCTAAAACATCTTACTAGAAGTTTCTGTTGATAAGCTATGATTTTCTTCCAGAATGCTGACTCAGGAACTTCTGGCTCTCCATATCGATGTGTGTGGAGCTGCCTCAATTTTTGTTTACCCTTGTCTTCTTTGTTTTTTTCTTCTTTTTCTCCATCTTCTCCCCTATGAACACAAATGAATGAAATATAAGCCATCCAGAAACTAAAGAACTGGACAGACTTTGTGCCAAAATATACAAATGAACAAATATTTAAATCATAGTATCATTTTTGAAAAGCAATTTCTCTTCCAATGAAGTATAATATTCAGAATTTTAGAATTAGGGATAGGATTTCTTGCTTATCAGATCCTCCTGTAGATGGCAATTCTGTGAGGTTCAAATCTAAAGGGCATTTTACAGGCTTCAAGTGTCTATATACCTATACAAAGCACATCCCCTTCCAATTGTACAATAAAACATTTAACTAAAAAGAGAAAATATGAAGACTTTTTGTTTTTTGTTTTGACTTTCCAACACACCTTATTTTTAAATTATGATTTTAATGTTCAATCTTTAACACTGACTAGCCATCAGGACTTAAAATCAGAGGCATATGTATTTGGTTCTTCCCATGTCAAAAGTTGTCAATATATTAATTTTTCAGACAATAATGGAATTAGAAGCACTGAAATTTAACACTTAAAACCCATATAGGTGAAAAATACCAATCCTTCATGAAAGTACTTATGTGTAGATGCATATACATAACCCTCATTTACATAACCTATACTTAACTTTAACCCATATGAGGTATATTTAACATTATTTTTAACATTAAAGAATTGCTATTGAAATGACTGTCATGCTTTGTTACATATGACTACATTTCACTATAATAGTCATTTACACGGCCATTTTTACAACTGATCCAACAGTGCAAAATCTGTGACAATGAATAGGGATAGCTATAAAGAACAGACAATGAAGACAGGCCAAAGAAAATAACAGAATAGAGCAGGAAAATAAAATACTATGTGAGAATAGTTGCACTACAGACACTTAAAAATTTGATTTCCCCAATGTTTAAAAATGTGTATATAAAACTATTTAAACATGGGGAAAGATGTAGGTTTCAATTATTGATAGGAAGGCGGGGTTATGAGGAAATTATACATTTTTATTGCTTGACATGCAGCTTTTTATTTCTTATTCTGCATTTATAACCATGCTCCATAGCACCAAGAGTGTTGGTAAGAATGAAGATTCCTGGGCGCCACACCAGGAATGCTGAATCAGAATCTCTGTGGTGAGGCCCAGGAATCTGTGTTTTTAACAAACTCTCCAGGCAATTTTTATGCATGTGGCCCTGGGACTACGCTTTGAGGAACACCACCCCTCAAGGACTCTATGCAATGACATTCAGAATGTTTGTCTCCTCCCTTCTCTACAAGGACAGAAATACAGGCATGATTTTAAACACAGAACTGCAGCCGTCAGTCACCTTGCGGAGAGCATCACATGGAATCACTGGAGTCTTTTCCGCTGAGAGAGAAACACACAAACACAATCCTCAGGGAACAAGGAGAAAGAGACTGGCAGGGCAGCCCAGGAGGGCGTCTACACTTCTCCCTGCCCATGGACTGGGGTCCTCGCATCAGAGTCTCTCCATTGAGATGACAGATGTCATCAGGTAGCGTGAGATTCTCCATTATATCCCCTGAAGAGGGAGTACCAGTAAAATAGACTTACTGAAACAAAGGAGAGTATACAGAAATGACACATACTCAGCTTTTTCAGGTTCGGATTTGTTTTCTTCTTTTTCTTCCTTTTCTTCTTCTTTTGCCTTCTGTTCCTTGAATGAGTCAATGGGGAAAGGAAAAGCAGGATTACACATCACCTTTGAATGAGTGTAGGGAGCCCTGTGACCATGTGCCAAATTGTAACCTATAAAAGATACCCTCTTGCCTATACTGAGATAAAAGTGCCATGTGTGCCTTTCATTCTACTGCTGTAAACACCTCTCTCTTCTTCTCCACACTTAACCTACCCCGCCAGCAAGAGGTACGAACTTTCTTTTTATTTATTTATTTATTATTTTTTTTTTTCCCCCAAAGCCCCAGTAGATAGTTGTATGTCATAGCTGCACAGCCCTCCAGCTGCTGCATGTGGGACGTGGCCTCAGCATGACCGGAGAAGCGGTGCGCCGGTGCGCACCCGGGATCTGAACCCGGGCCGCCAGCAGCGGAGTACGCGCACCCAACCACTAAGCCACGGGGCCGGCCTGGTACAAACTTTCTGAGTCCTTCCCATCTTCTTTTCTTTTCTTTTTTAATACTATTGTTCTTTTTTTTTATTTTTTATAATTTTTATTTATTTTTTTTTCCCCCAAAGCCCCAGTAGATAGTTGTATGTCATAGTTGCACATTCTTCTAGTTGCTGTATGTGGGACGCGGCCCCAGCATGGCCGGAGAAGCAGTGCGTCGGTGCGCGCCCAGGGTCCAAACGCGGGCCACCAGCATCGGAGCACACGCACTTAACCGCTAAGCCATGGGGCCGGCCCCCCATCTTCTTTTCTTATTTCAGAATTACTCTTCTTTACATCACTTACCTACTCACACATTATTCATCCTTCAAGGCCAACATAAGTCCTGCCTCTTAAATCTCATCTAATTACTCCAAACAATACTGACATTTCCATTTTCTCAACATATGTAACCTCTACCACGTACTGCCTAGTCTATTTACACCATAATTTTCAATTATTTTCATAAGTGTTAGTTTAATCTTTCTAATAAACTCTTTAAGGCAACTCGAAAGCAGTCAGCACATCTTATATTTCTTTTAATTCCCTATGATGCTGAGTAGTGTCAGACACATGGTAAATACTCATAAAATATTTGTGGATGGAATAATTGTTCAACTGACTAATGTCATTAGGGTGGTACTTGAGTTTACACCATAACAGTTTAAGATAATTCAATAATTTGTAAAGAATCTTCAAAAGGCTAGCTTCGCCTATCAAAAAGCCATTTCTCTTTGGAAATTCAAGTCAGGTCTTGAACCCCATTCTGGCACTAGCATGAAATGGATGTAAAGTTCACTTACTGTGCCTACTTGAAGGCCAGAGAGCTACTGTGACTTAGAGATAAATTACCTGAAATTTCTCTTGCACCTCGGGAATGGGGACTGGGTTGCTCATGAGGTCGCTGAGGCCAGCATTTGGATTGTGAGGAATGAGTTTGTACTGTCCTCCTTCTCTCTTCAGATCCAAGCCAAATATGTCCGAAAGAAGGTCACTTTCCTCTGTCAGTTCCTTTAAATCTGTGAGATCTTCCGAGGCCAGGGCTGTTTCCATGGGTTTCCTCTCCCCCTCCTCTCCATCTCCTCTCACCTCGTCCTGAGTGGGGTCTGGCATGTTGGCTAAGAGCTCTGCCACTTTGATCTTCTTCGCGCCTTCTACCAGGCTTCCTCCCAGCAGCAGGCTACAGATGATGCGGGAAAAGCCTCTGAAAACGCTGGCCACAAAGTGCAAGAGGCTCATAAAAATACTCCAGTAGGATGAAAAGAAGGCTGTGACCATGTCCTTCACAGTCATCTTCTTCACTTTCTTCATCTGTTTCTTCAGGCTCTTTAGGCTGAGCATGCGCATCAGGGTCAAGATATTATACCTGAGAGCAAACAGGGCCGACTTGACTGTCAGAATGGAAAAGAAACCCATTTTTGGACCCTGCTCTTCGGGCTTCTCCTTCTCACTTTCTTCTTTATTCGCTGATCTCTCATTTAAATCTGACTCTGAGATCTGAGCCGCGAGCTGCATTTCAAATATGGTGTCCTCACAGAAGTTGACAAAGAGTTCCATCTTCTCTTTCTCTCCCCCTTCGTTGACCACATCAAATATGAACTGCCTCTTGGACTCCTTGACCTGGGGCTTCTCCCACTGGGTTCGGCTGGACTCACTGATTTCAAAATAAACCCTCTCAATGCGTTTGGCACTGCCCATGATCTCGATGCGGCCCAGGAAGGGCTGGAAGTAATTCAGCACACTCTCTGCTAATTCCAGGAAAGTCTGCAGTCGAGTATCATTGGGCATGTGTTCAGAAAGATTGGTCAGAAGAACAGCAACGTTGAAGCCGATGTCCTTTGCAGGTTCGTGGAACCGTTTGACAAATTCTTCATAGTCAAGGGTTTCATTTTCATCTGTCTCTGCGCAGGACAGAAGAAACTCGGTTTCTGATTGAGTGTAGTGCTTATGGCTCTCCATTGCTTTATGGAAGTCCCTCTTGGAAATGACTCCTTTGCCATCAGGGTCATATTCTTTAAATGTATCAGAAGATGTCAAATCCTTTAGTTTTAAGAACATGTCAAAAAATTTGAGAATCATCTCCACGTTGTTGGAGGATTCCACAAGCATATCAACCATCTGCTTGCCGATGGTTCCATTAACAACATTACCTGTAGTAAAGAATTGCATTTGTTCAAAATGAACATTCCTGATAAAACCAGTGTCTATACAGAAAATAATAATATAAATCTAATATAACATCTGAATCAAGGATATCTCCTTGTTTATCTTCCTATGTATGAAGTCTCAGGAAAAGATGGATAATTATTTCTAAACTCGAGTTTTAGAGAGTGATTATATGAACACACGCAAAACCATATTTACCAAGTAATTAGACTAACACCGTAAAACAATATTTGAACAAAAGCTGACATTTTTTCCCTCAAATGTGTCAAAGAAGCAACATGTTTTAGGATAAAGAAAACAGGGCAAACATTTATATCCTAAAGCCAGAAATTGAACTCTGGTTTCATATTATTAATAAAAATGAGCATTTGCATAGCTCTTTAGGGTTGAAAAATCACTACTCATAGATAAGACCTGATTTAATGTTCACATGTCTGTAAGGCAGGTACTGTTGATTAATTCTGACTTTAGTATTGAGGAAATTGAAGTTTAGCAAAGCTAAATAATGTGCCCATTGTGACATGATTATCAAAGGTTAGTGCCAGGACTTCAAACAGATCCTCTGAGAACAAATTATGTGCTCTTTCTGATTAAAAATGTAAAGCATCTCCCTACATATCTTCATGGACCAGAATGTTTATTTAGAGAATGGCAGATTATCAGCTTGAGACAATTAGAATATTATCCTAAATGACAGAGTCATAGAATGCTTTTATTCCTTGAACAGACCATGCTGTGTAACATACGGACAGACAACAGAAGAAAGATGCATGGCAAGAGTTCTGCTGAGTCCATTTGTGAGGGAGTAAGCACCATGGTTAAGGGCGTAGGCTCGGGGACCACATTGTTGGGTTTGAATCCAGGCTCCCCCATCCACTAGCTGAGCAACCTGGGCAGATTTCTTCACCTCTTTGCACCTCAGTTTCCTCATTTGCAAAATAGTGATGATGATACTATCAAACTCGTAAACCCGGTATTAGGATTAAACAAGTACTTAAACCAGTAGCTGGCACATTTTAGGAGGTGAATTTTAAGTTGTCATTGCTATGGTTGCTGCTGCTGCAGTGACTATGGTTGTTGTTATTACTATTTAGACTAAAATTTGAATTGAGGTCGTAGTAAAAGGATCCTGCGCTCAGAGGGTATAAAGTGGCTGCCAACTAAGTGTTTTAAGCAAATGTTGCATCTTTGAAGCCCTAACACAAGGCCTGACCACAACCTTAGTTAATCAAAGTGCAGTTATGCAATGCCTGGCAGACAAAGAAACAAAGAGAAAAAAATTAGGAAGGATTTAAGAAAAAAGGGTAGGTAAACAGTTTTAAAGGTTGCACAAGATTTTTAGTTGATTTGGTCCTGTTCACATGATTTCACTGAATTCTCACATCAGTCTATCATTATCTCCATTTCACAGAGGAGGAAATTGAAAGATGGAGATGAAACTTGTCCAAGGGTCACACCGCTTAGAAGTGGGAAAGCAGGGATTCAAATGCTGGTGGTGGATCTCGGAACCCAAGCTCTTAACCACTATGTTTACTGCCTGATACAGGAGAGAAATGCAATAGCAAAGAAAAATAAGTTGGAAAGAGAAAAGAGAGAGAATAAAATCCGAGAGATGTATGTGGTGCAGAGCACTAGATGGCCACCAGCAGGTGTCTCTGAGCTCAGCACCTCAGCAGCAGGCTTAGGTGCTCTCAGCAGCGTTCCTCTCCTGCAGGACTTTGAGAACCCATAGGAGTTACAATGCAGATAGCTGAAAGCAGCAATTTACACAGTTGGAGTCCATCCAAATGTCTGTAATCCCCACTGATTATAAACAAACTAACAAATAAATAAAATCTTCTTTATATGCTATCTGTCTGGACAGCGTACTCTTTAGCGTATTACTACAAACTACACCGGTTTCTACAAATCTACATTTTACATATCTACATTCTGTAGATATGTAAACTGAGAAATGCAGGACTTCTCTTTTTTTGAAAACTAATTTGAGAAAAGAGTAATAAAGCCAGCAATAAATCCAATGTATCTGTCACATCTCAGTGTTGATATTTTATTCTTTGTAGCTTGCTGACTCCATATGCAAGCACATATTGATCCTTAAAATAAAAGAATAAGGGGAACTTGAAAATATAAATCAAAACTACCTTCTAACATGGACAGCAACATGACCACCATATCCTTCTGAAGATCCATTAATTCTTTTAATAGCTCAATTTGACTGGAATCCTGAAAATATTAACATATTGCATTTGAGATAATATGAGAAAACCATGCAGCAAGAACATCACACTTATTCTCACAAAAAGAGAACTGCTCTACCAAAAGTAAATACTTTACAGCATTATAGAACTGAAGGAAGGCCAAATATAAGTATGTAGCTTATTAGAAATATACCTTTCATAATTAAAGAGTATTTACTATTGATTCCAATTCATGTTTCTTAAAGTACAGTCACGTGTCACTTAACGACAGGGATACATTCTGAGAAATGTGTCATTAGGCAGTTCCGCCCCTGTGCAAACATCACAGAGGGCACTTACACAAACCCAGATGGTACAGCCTACTACACACCTGGGCTATATGGTACCAATCTTATGGGATCACCATCATACATGTGGTCTGTCGCCGACCAAAATGTCGTTATGTGGCACATGACTGTATTTGTAAGGACAAAGAGCAAGTCTAACAAGAGTATGAAAGAACTAAAGCAGTGGCAGATTCTCAGTGCCAGGCAGGCAAGACTCAGGGGCTTCTGCACATTGGGCATCTTTCTTTTACTTGAAAAGACTGTACTTGTTTTTTCTTCTTTATAACATATTACACAAAGATGTCATATATTTGTAAAAATTAACTTATTCTGGAAAAAATAGGCATAACAGTGATACGAGATAAACTTTTCTTACATAAATCTAACCAAAAATGTACACAAGCATTACCTACACTAATAGTGCACAGTGTATCTTATTTACCAATTTTATTAAGCTCTCTGATATTTCTCCGGTTAAAATTTTCTGTTTTTTTATTTTTGTTTTTGATTTTTCACCATGAAAAAGAAGTTCTTTTACATAGATATGTTGTGTCCCAAAGTCACTGTGCTTAGATTCAGTGCCTAGAAATATGGAATGTACTTACATCTAAATTACAGCCTTATAAATCATCAGATTTTCTTTTTATTTTAAATGATGCCTTTTTTTCTTCTTAAAAAATTATATAAGGTATCATTTTATTCATTTGGATTTTGCTACATATAAAGCTAAATTTCTACATTGCTGGAAGCGTGAGACTTTTTCTTTCTAAATAAGTTGTTACCTTGACTAGGTCTACAAACTGTGAACAACTGCTAGGTAGCACCAGATGTCAATAAAATGATGGAAACACATCAGAATGAGAACTCTCTGGTGAGTGTATAAATTTGCTTCATGTTGATTTCCTTTACTTACTAAAATGTCATTAGTGATTAGATGAAGGAATCATGATATTTCCTTATTTGGTTGAAGTCACCAAATTCACCTTCACCTTATTTGGTTGAAGTTACTGTTTGTTCCAGCCAACATCTGAGGATGGGGCCTGTCTCCTGGTCTCTCTGGGAGGGTAGAATCCTGGCTTTAACAGTTGCAAGCAGACACAGGTGGCCGAATCAGCATTTATACTGACCAACCTTTGGTAAATTTTTCACTTCCCTGACTCTACTGAGCCCCTGCTGCATAGTCAACTGGGGACTCTACTGAAACCCCTTTCTATTCCCTCATTCTCCCTTTAAAACACCCAGTCGCCTCTGTACAAATCAAAGCAGAGCTCAGTTCATGCTGGATTCTTTTCGCTACTGTAATAGTTATTACTGATTAAAATCTGTCCTAACCATTTTAACCAGCTTTACTTATCTTTGACTATATGGTCCTGCTTGTGGGGCAGGGGGCAGGCGTGAGCATCCTCACTTTCCTGGAGGAAAGGAGACTCAGGGAAGAGAGGCTACTGGCCCAGACTCCTGGGACACGTGAATGAAAACACAGGGGCTGGATAGGCTGTCTTCTGACTTTAAATCCTCTACCTGACACCTGCCAGATACCCACGCCCTGACAGATATGTCAGATCTCAGGACATACCCTCAGAATTCACCACTTCAAAGGGACACATTTACTCAAGATTTATATTAAGAATTTTTCTATTCGTGTATTTCTTAGCTTCCAATGAAATAGATATAGTAGTGAGAAAGTAACATGCTGATGTTTTCAATATGTGCTCCCAAATTAATATTAAAACACAGTGGAAAATCTGTCTATTCTTTTTTTTTTTTAAAGATTTTATTTATTTATTTTTTCCCCCCAAAGCCCCAGTAGATAGTTGTGTGTCACAGCTGCACATCCTTCTAGTTGCTGCATGTGGGACGCGGCCTCAGCATGGCCGGAGAAGCAGCGCGTCGGTGCGCGCCCGGGATCCGAACCCGGGTCGCCAGCAGTGGAGCGCGCTCACTTAACCACCAAGCCACGGGGCCGGCCCTGTCTATTCTTTATTTGCTTATCCTTATAGCTATCTTTCTCACCTTGACTTTCACAAAGTTAAATTTCCTGTTAATGGGTGAATTTTTATCTATTGAGAACAACTGCTTGTTTATGACCCTATAAGAAAACTGTCTCCCTTTAACAAGGGATTTGTGACAGATTTCAAATCCTTCTTCACTTATTTGTGGGGAGGAGGAAAACTCCAGTGAGTAATTGTCAACAAGTGGGTCTATGAAGGATTGTAAAACACACAATGTTTGGGGACGACACTTGTTTTATTTTTCCATTATCTTCAATTCCTTAATATCTTTTGTTCTCAAATTTGAATAATGGCTCCCATCTATTTTTAGCTGGCATAAAATTCTTTTATTTAAAAAAATGTTTTTTAATGTAGAGTAAAAGATATCTAAAGAACGAATCTAAGAAAGATAATATTCAAACAAAGGAAAGCATGTTTAATTTGCCAATGCCTACAGTCTCTGGTTTGTCATTCAGGATGGTGGAAGATAGTTAATTTACCTGAGACAGCTTCATCTGCATGTGGGCAAATACATGAAGAAAACCCACCACTGCATCCCATAGCCTGCTGTGGGCCAAACTCTGCTGATTGCCAGTGCAAGGACCCTGGAGGAGAAACCGACAAATAGCAATCATTCCTGATATGCCAAAACAAACTTGACAATAATAGGGACAAAATTAACTTAGTGTTGACATATCACCAACAGGTTATCTGAAAAGGTAGGAACCCAAAAGGAAAGATATACGGCAATGACAATGGTATAGTGCCCTAAAGAGAGAAGCATACTCTTCTTTGAAATGTTTAATATAATAAATCCCAAAAACAGTTTCTCAAGGATTCTCATGTTCTGTTTCTGTATGAATAATAAAACACTGACAAAAAAGAATGATGAATTATTTCATTTTTGTCTGGATTTGGTTTCTTCTATTTAGAGGAAAAGGGCAGAGTCCAGCTGTTTTTGCTTTTAAGTCAAATCAATCAGTAGTTACTGCCTTGTGTGAAAAGAATCTGAGATTATGCTTAAGATGAGAGGTAATTACTTCTTATTGCTAAATAGTAACCTGGACAAAGCATTCGTATAGAGGAAAAAAAGTCCTCTTCAACGCTTTCTTAACTGTACAACTGTTTTACCAATCACACAACCGGTGAGATTTTAAAAGATTAATACTTGGTCATTAACTTGATGAACCCAGAACCCAAGGCAATTGGAACCTAATTTGCTCCCTTTGCTTACACTTCAGAAGGGATCTTTCTGTGATACTAGAGAGCATGTTGTAATGGGCAGAGCATTTGGATGGAGACAATTTCTATTTTACTTCCCAAGGAAAAATTCCACAATCACTAAGTTTTGCACGTATACTCACATCAACCAGAACAATAAATAATAGGGATTTTATCTCAAAAGAAAAAATATATACAACACAGTTCTTAACTTCCAAATCATTCATTCCTTCAGACAAATGACTCATAATAAATTCAAACTGGAGAGAGCATTAGAACATTTCAGATTTTACTCTAGAAACAAGTGATTGGAAGAGACGACCGCGTTGAAGATAGTGACAATGTTGCAATGGAACTTGTTCTGTCTCAGCTTCTCTTGAGGCCCTACAGCTGAGAATAAAAGACAGTAAGTGCCAGGTACCTCTATATTCCAAAAGCAAAGTTCTAGACTCAGTACCCACGGAAGGGGAGACTAAAGAGATCTTTCCACCCTAAGGCTATAAAGGGGTTGAAGTTGAAAAGAGAGACTGGACAGAGCTATCCATGTGCTGGGCATCTCCACCTTCCACCTCTGCTGCTATGGGAGAGGAGAGGGGCTGCTTCTGCACCTTTACACCAAGTGAGAGAGGAGGCTTCAAGAGAACCATCAGAGTGCTTGGCTTCTGTCTCCTGAAATTGGGTAGCAGAAGGTTTGGTTTTAGAAAGTGCAAAAGACAGAGTGATAAAATAAGATACGTGTTTGTTATATGGGCTGCCCAGGAGGGAGCTACCCAGCCCAACAAGACTTTGAAATCTTGCCTGACAAGACTGTCTGAAAGGGTAACGCGATTCCAAGGTAGATTGGGGCCAAGAGGTACACAGAGTCTGTGGAATAATTTGAAACTGGGTGGGAAAAGAGGCATTTCCAGGCACTGGAGACCGTAAGAGAACCAAGCCCCCTTGTTAGATAAAGAATAAAACAGGCCACCCCAGATGGCAGTCCTGAATTACATGTGCCCTGGAGAAAGGCCTTTCCTCCCTCCCACAGTTCCAACCCTGAGGAGCCGGAGGTTGACTAGGAGAGGAAGGAAAAAGAGAAGAACCCCGTGGGGAGATAGCAGAGAAGACCAGATCCTACTCCTGGCCCTCCACCCCCACCCTGAGGTCCCTCCAGCATAAAATCAGGCCCAAGGGTGAGCGGAGGTTTTAAATTGCATAAGGGCGAAGTGACTGTGCCATTGTACTGTTACTGAAATGAGACTACTCTTGTCACAGTGAGTGAAGGAATTTTATTTACCTGAGAGTGGCCAGAGCACAAGATCCATTCAAAGAATGGTAAAGAAATGGTCCACAGAGCAAGTTTGAAGGGACAGTGGTGACAAGGAATCAGGTTATTTTAATTTACAGGTTAATAAATTCAGCCCATTCAATGTACCAGGCTACAGCAATTTTAGAGTACTTTAGTCCTGTCTGCCTGTCAGAGTAACTCTGGTGTCAAAGCAACGGGCCTTCAGGATTTCACTGTGGTTCAAGTCCAGCATTGGCATTGTGCCCATGGTACAAACACCAGGGAGGGTGAAAAGCCCAGGAGGTCCTTAGGTGAAAACAGAATACCATTTCAAAGAAAATAAACTTGATTTTTCTTTAAGTCAGGAAAAATTTTCTCCATGTGATATTTAAGATTTTAATTAAGTTAAAATATTATAAAGGGCTATCTTCTGCAAGCCCTAGGTGACCAAGAGTTGTTCTGCAACCCTTAAGCGACAGAGCTGCAAACCCAAGGCTCAAGTACAGCAGTCCCCCCTCATCCGCAGCTTCGCCTTCCGTGGTTTCTGGTACCCGCGGTCAGCCACAGATATCTCGGCTCCTGACATCCAATCATCGACATCGTCACGGGCCCGTGATCCTCCTTCTGACACACAGTTAGAAGATCTACAATAGCCTAATGTTTCGTCACAATGCCTACGTCATTCACCTCACTTCATCTCACCACATAGGCACTGTATCATCTCACATCATCACAAGAAGGGTGAGTACAGTAAAATAAGATACTTTGAGAGAGACCACATTCATAAAATTTTTATGACACTGATTGTTATTAGTTGTTCTATTTTATTATTAGTTATTGCTGTTACTCTCTTACTGTGTCTAATTTATAAATTAAACTTTATCATAGGTATGTATGTATAGGAAAAACATAGTATATATAAGGTTCGGTATTATCTGCTGTTTTCAGGCATCCACTGGGGGTCTTGGAATGTACCCCCGGCGGATAAGGGGGGGCTACTGTACCCATTTTTCCTTCTAAACCTGAAACACGCAGAATGTACTTTCCAGGACTTGCTCAACCTTAGGCCATGCTCTTCTGAGAACCATTACCTAATCTGGATGGAACATCTGCCTTGCCTACTGCCTCACCCTCCTATTTCTCACGATCTTTTCAGTGCCTGCCACATACAAAACCTCTGCTACCTGCCAGAAGGCAAGACGGTTGCACTTTCATTTTCACTTTCTTGTGGCAACAACAAATAAAACTTTCTCTTTTCTCACCTTGTGGCCTTACTCTGAGAACTTTGACAGTATAGTGACTTCTTAAGCAATTCTTCTCTCATTATTAAAATTGGAATTGGAATCTTATAGATGATTACCTTTATTTTGATGGTTTTAGATCCCCCCATTATATAATTCTCTATAGTTAGCAAGAATTTGAATTAAAAAGGAATATGCAATGCTGTAATCTAAGAGGCAGTCCAAAACAAGCATGGCTAATGATGAGCTGTTATTCACAGATTCAACAGTAATTAGCAAATATGACACTAAGGCAAGCTTCTTCAAAACATGTTTTACTAAACGCAATGTGGTGACCTCAATTGGCTCCTGGAACAGAAAAAGGACATGAATGGAAAAATTGGTAAAATCAGGATCAAGTCTGTAATTTAGCTTATAGGATTATGTTGATGCTAATTTCCTAGTTTTGACAAATGTATCGTGGTTATATAAAATGTCAGCGTTAGGGAAAGCAGGGTGATCACCTATGGAAACTCTCTGTACTGTCTTTGCAACTTTTCTATATACCTAAAATTATTCCAAAATAAATTTTTACTAAAATACATATTTCAGAAATGATTAATGTATATAAAAATATGTAATATACATAAAGATTAAGGAGAGGTTAAAAAATGAACAAGCCATAAGAAGCCATGCTACTTTACCTGTTATCCCTTGAATGTTCATCTAGAATGCTCTGTCTTATATAAATAGGTTAGAATAAAGGATTTTGCACATAGTCAGAGGTTAGTGGATGCTTCTAATTTTAGGTAAATTCAGGAAACGCACTTATTTTAGGAACCAAGAAATGCCCACTCGGCTGAAAACGCATTTAAGTTTCCTTTGTTGTATAGGAACCAATTTACTAGCTGTTTCTATAAAATTCATTGGCTTGCTAATGTCATAGTTAATTTTATTTAATCAGGTCAGTTCACATTGAATGTGAATAATATGTTTCTAGACACGGATGAGAATATTAAGGCAATAATGGAAGCCAGGGAAGATAAGAAAATAGGAACATGAGTGGAATGAAACTGATTTAAAATTTCACTTTTACTTGATTTAAAGAAAAGTTATTAAATTATCAAGTGTAGCTTTTCCATTTTGAAATGCTCAGTAAGGATCCTCTTCCCTGCCCCAGGAGAGAACAGAAAAAGTGAAATCTTTCCAAGGTACGAACAGAGAGGAGAGAATGAGCCCGGAGGAGGTGAGGAACAAGCCACTATACATCTACAGCACTTACCCTTGGTCAGCTTCACTTAGCCATGAATCCTTCATTCACTTAAACAGTCATTCTACAAACACCTGTAGCTATGCTAGGCTCTGAAGATATAATCTGTTATTTTTATGTAACTCCTTTCCCCCGACAAGATTATGTTTAATCCAATGAAGCAAACTATAAATTTCTTCTTCCTGTTTTATTCTTAGCACATGGCACTTCAAACATAGTAACTGACTGATTCAGAGCAATATTGGCCATGGAGACAGAAGAAAGAAAGGAAAGAGGATGGACTGGAAATAGCAAAGTTCTGCTGGTTGAAAAAACCAGAATTTTATAAAATGTTTTAAAAATCTGCATGTTAAGATTAGAAGTTAGCCTAAAGGGAATATAAAACAAATTAGTGTAAAAAAAAAAAGGTATATTCTTCATATTTGGAATTTTACCTATTGTACATTATATAATTATATATACACACATACACACTAAAATGAGGTTTTAAACACTATTCTCTTTTTTATGAAGTTTCTATGAAACTTCTTCCTCACTTTTAGTGGAATACTATAAAGAGTCGTTTAATGCTCTGCCTTCACTCCTTCCCTCCCTCACTTTCTTCCTTGCTTCCTTAATATTTATTGAGTACTTAATATATATACCAGGCCCTGGAGCTATGAGAGAGTCAACATCCCGGTATATGCCTCGAAGGAGTTAATAACTCAATCTGCTAAATAGTAAAGCAAGTTCATTCCATGTAAATTCACATCTCGACCTAATATTTTAATTGTAGTCACTGGGTAAGAATCCATGGGTCAACTGGAAATGTGGATGATGGCAGGAAAATACTTTAGGCACATTGTATTTCTCCATATAATTCAATGCTAACCAGTTGACTTTTTCCTTTCTTTCTTCAAATAGCAGAAATGTTTAAATGTTTACCTGAATATACTCTGTGAGAGTGTTAAAGACTTGTTTTGCTACTTGAATTGCTTTGGAGAAATTCCGTTGTCCTTGTTCATCAATAACATCTTTCCCAGAGTAATACCAATAGAAATCACTAATTGATTCCTGGAAAACAGAGACAATAGGATTAAGGCACATTCTGAAGCTATCACTGACCTGTCCAGTTTTGGACTCTATAACAGGAAATCATTTTAAACAACAGATTTGGAAGCAAACAAAAATATCTGTGAAGTAAATACTATTCTCAATGATTTTCCTAAAGATACAATATGGCAACGTCCTCCTGAGATACAAATAACAACTGGAGAGAAGATAAGAAGCAGAAAACTTAGCTTTAAAAATGACTTTCTGTCTCTGATGACCTTGAACTTCACAAACATAAGGATTCATAAGATCAACGCATATTTATCCATTGAGCCAAGCTAGATGGTTACTATGAGAGCACAGAGACTGGACAAATTATAGAACAATATTTTTTTGATTATGGACATCTGGCCTCTTGTTTCTCCAGCAAAGCCACTACCATTTCCTGGGTGAGAACTCCAGGATGTTTCCTGCCTTTGTAATTGCCCCTGAAGAAACTGGTTGGATTACATATAAATACTGACGACGACTGTAAACAAATATCTAAATAAGATCAATCTTTCCAAACAGGATGTTTTCAACAATAACTTACATCGTGAGGGAATTTCAGTTAGCTAAATGAATAATACAATTTAGTGTAGCATGTAAACTACATTTGGGTTTTGAGACATGATTTAAAAAGTCACAAATACGTTTTCAGCAATACTTTTTGATGTATATGCTTCAAAAATGGACTTTTTTCCCATTAAGCTCTAAGTAAAAAAGTGTTGTGCTTTTACATACTTGAATATTAAGGAAAAAACTGAAAGCCTTTTTGTGCAGTTTTTAAAAGTACTATACCTGGCTTCTCTTATAAATAAAACAAGGAAAATAAAAGCTGTTTAGGGTTCTCATTATTTAGGAGGCCTATACCTTCAGATTCAGTTTTATTGACATGTAAAAGATTACTACAATATCAGGGAGATTTTTAAGTGATGGAGTGTTAAGCTGAATTTTAAAATTAATTCAAATATTAGCTGAAAATAACTAACCTTAGGCTGTTAAATTTAAGTATATGGTAGGTACTTTGAAAGCCTTTCTTTTTCATAAGAATGTTTCAAATATTTTTCCCCTGTTTATCTATCCACTGTAGAAGAGAGATCAGAGCATGTAGGCGCTTTACGACATGAAAAAGAATTTAAAATGCTATCAAGCTAAAAAAATGTAGAAAAAACAATCCCCACTTGTAGGAAGAAAATAATGGGCAAAGTAGGAGCCGGGATCAGAGGCAAAGACACCAGTGGCAGCTTCACCCTAAGATTTGGTGACAGACTGTGATCAAAGACAAAACATCTAAAAAAATTCTGTCTAGTCATAAATCAAAACACATTAAAACATGGCACTTCAATAGCTCTGCCATATTCTCACAACTAACCGACCCCTTTGTTACTGATACGTAAGGCAACGTACCTGCACCCTCAGTAGGTAGTCTACAGTCGAGATGATTATGTTGACAGTCGTATTATTGCCAGTCTGAGTTCTCAGATAATTCTGAAAATCTACATAAGATCAAAAGATGTTATTAAGGCTCATTCAAAATGAGCCTTTAAAATGAGTTGAGTTATTCGAGGAACTCCAAAAGCAAATGCTGTCCCCAGCAAAATCATTGTGACTCAGAGTAGTGTTCTTATAGTTTTAATATGAAATAATTTATATTTTCCATAAAAAGTGGGTGAGCACCCCAAAAATATATCTAGGTGCTTCGCAGAATATCAATATTCAATTTTTGTCAAAGAGGTTGCTAACACCAGTTTCCTGATTCCTAGCTCTAGAACTCTGGGCGTGTGAATGACTGAAAGGATGTCCATCCTTTAGATATAGTCATTAAATTATTTATTCAATAATCACTTGTTCCTCAGTACTGTACTCAGTGCTGGGGAAACAAAAATAAAATTAAGATGTAGTTCCTGCCTTCATGGACACACAGCTTGGTAGAGAGGAAGATATACAGACAACGAATAGAAATACATTATGCTAAGTAATTCAATGAAGTCGATTCCCCAGTTAAAGAGAAGGGGTACAAAAGGAATAAAGTATATATTTCTCTGTAAGTATCTATCTAATCTAAATCTGTCTTCACCTATCACCTCTCTTCTCTAACATAAAGACAATTGATAAGAATTAAGTGAAATGGCTAACAAAGGACTTTGAAAGCAGCAAAGCAATCTATAAAATGTCACAGTGCCAATGCATACAGAGGAATGCTCAAGAACTGTTGACTCAAGGCATGAAGCCTAATTGGAACTAACAGCCTCCTGTTATTACAGGCTTCAATGCACTTATTCCTTGGTACCACCAGATGGTCTGGGGTCTCACAAACCTGAGTTGTGTCCCTCACAAAGCAGCTGCAGGAAGCGGAAGAGGTCACAGGTGAACTCGTCATCCTGCAGAACCTTTTCTCCTGCAGAAAGTCCAGAGGGATCAGACATTATCAACCACCCTCGTCTGTCCCTCCCTTTCTATCCCCACCTCCATAAAACTTGCATGTTGATCTAGCATCGTTCTGAACCAAAAACAGTCACAAATCATAGCCACTTTTCTATCTGAAGCTCATAGGATCATGCGCTTGGCAGATAGATGCACTTTTTCTTTGTCAGAAAAGAACATTTGAATCTTAAACTCAGGTTTCTCTCTGTTAAAAGTAGCAGCATGGGTTTGGCAACATTTTAGAAGCAACCTAAAGATGTAAACTTTTCTTTTCTTTCTTCTTTTTCAGTAAGTTGTATATAGGAAGGATCTCTGCAGCTCTTATGAATGTTAAGGTTAAATCTGCTTTGTTCCCAGAATATGAGCACATGATTCAATGCAAAGCAGTCAATGCATATATAAAACAGGGCCAAGAGTTTCTTTCATTAAAGACTAATTAAAGGATTTTTGTGAAAATTGTCAATGACTAGAAAAATGTTTCTTATTTTAATTAACTTTCTCATTAGCTTGTCTATGGATCTAAAAAAAGCAAAGACTTCAGAAGTCTAAAACAGAGATGTCACAGGTTGGAGCATTACATCCAGAGGAGAGAGAACTGGCACAGAGACCTAATTCGAAATATCAAACCAAAAGAAAGACTTTGGTGGCTCATGCCATGAGAGCTAAACCTAATAAAGAAAGGTGAAAAGAAGGACATCTCAAAGCCATTGAAGCTACTCTGCATCGTTAAAAACTATATTGTGGGGCAAGGATGAAGCCTCAGAAAAGGGCTTAGGTATTTTACCTATATTTCAATTTAAATGTATCTTGATCACAAGTTACTTTGAAAGCAAAAACACAAAGAAGGAAACAAACAAAAAAACAGCACCACACGAATGAAAGTTGATTTTTAAAGCACAGGGTGTCAGCGAAAAAAATTTTCAACATTATGAGTGTATGCTCTGGAATCTAAATTTGTTTAGAAAGCAAAATGACAAAAAAATGTTGTTTGGCAAGTGAATGGATGTACTTATGTACTTGAAAAAATAATAACTTTTCAGACTGGAAATACTTTGGGCTAAGAAAGAAAACTATGCAATGACCATGTGTTTACTTTAACTAAAATTATGAATGATCATAATGACAGAGAGCTGATGGACTTACCAGTCTGCAGTCTGTGACTTTCAAAGTGAGAGGCTTCATATAATGGGAGGGTTAGGAAGCAAAACCATTTTGAAAACTAATATAAACATTAAAAAAAGTACATAAAATCACTGTACTGGTTTCCCTGTTAGCCTGTAAGATATGATATTTGGTGACCAAACTAAAATCACCACGTATACAAAGTATACAAATCAGTCCTGTGAAGTTTAAGTGTTAAATGCACATCGTTTTGAATCTCAATACATGGCTGATAAGCCCATTCCTCAGTGTTTACATTCACATTCACGACAGGATAGGAAAGAAAGGGAGTATAATCTAGGCTAATAAACTAAATTCTTCGCTAATGATACTTTGTATCATTTCATGAGCTATTTTAATCAGAAGAGTATTTAAAATGATGTTTAAATCAAAACATCATCTGTTAGTTACATAGACTTGTTAATTCTTTCCCTGTAGGCCCATCTAAAATTTTGTTTGTTTTCAGAAAGTGGAATCAATAAACAATGTACATACTTTTAATGTTCATATATTCAATGTGGAATAAGTAACCCTTGATAGAAACTATTCAGAAAAGTTAACACTGAAATAAAAATCACATAGTCTACCTGTGTACCTAAAAATGCTCTGCACCATGTACATTGATTTATAACGTAAGGTCTTATTTATTGTTGGCATGCACAGTATTTTCTTGGCTGTACACTGAGACACGTACAAGTAATTTCACTTACAGAAGGACACACTGCATACAGCAGAACAATAGGGAGAGGAGAGAGGGAGGGGGTCAAGCCTTCATCTACCATCACGTGACACCAGATATAAACTGGGGTGCTATTGCTTAATGAACACGTTACTATGTGATTAAAATGCTGCCATTGCCCATGCTGCATGTAGGTGGTGCAGTAACAGAGATGGATGATGGCTTTATGTCTGCAGAAGGTACAGGATCAACAGTCGATTTTGCGATGTATGCAAAAGAAATTCCATTGTAGGATGGAAACTAAGATTAATAACAAAGAACGAAATGGAGTAAAATGTAGTTGAAAGTGCTCTTACATTCTTAAAATATTATTTGTAATAGCTGCATGATGGCCAAATGTAGATATTGTGAAGGGCATTCCTTTGGTTTCATTTTTAATTATAAGAGGATTATGATTTCTAATACTGTAATAAAGGGAGAGTTATTACAATATTGTTGCTGCTGATGAGCTTGTTCTTTGTGCCTTAGGTTTCTCATCTATAAAATGAGAATAACGTACACCCTCTACCTCACTGGCTTTTCATAATCTATGTGACCATTTTTATCAATTGTGGAAAGGTTAATATTATTAGTAGCAGTGGCAATAACACTAAAGAAAGATGGGAACGACATGCCCAGGTGAGGAATATAATTATTTGAATACATTTATTAAATGTGTTCATATTTTCAAAAAGTCATTTTAATTTTAATGGACCAAAATATTTTCAAAAATATTAATTGTCAATTGAAAGTAACTGACCTTATTTATTCAAGCTACCACTGAAAAGTAATTCCTATTTTAGAGATCTAATAAAGTTAACACACTTTTATAAGGCTACTGTTCTACTCACAACTGGCTTATCCAGTTAATAGAAAAGTACACAAATGTCTGCTGAAGTTCAATAAAAACAATTTTGTTCTTATTGGTTACTTAGACTATCCATGGACATAGGCCAAAGTTCACAGCCTTATCTCCAGACAAGGCTTGGTTTAATTGTTAATAATTGTTAATAAAATTAAGGAAATAAGTAAAAAGACTATCTAATATGAGTGTGGTGCTTTCAAAATAGTATTTAGCTAGCTATAAAAAGACTAATATATATTATGTATATATACATACATATATGTGTGTCTGTGTGTGTATATATATATATAAACAATTGAATTAGGATAAATAGACTCCAGAAGACCAAGATCCCCATTGTTGTAGGGTCTGGTCATGTCAATATCTCTAATAATGCAAAGATAAAACAATGAATGGTATGAAGCATAAGATTGGCCACTTCAAATAATTCCCTATAATCTATTGTTAAATGGAACTCAAGAGCCCCCCACTGCCATGGAGGAAATAACTCTGATTACTGATCTTTAGAGGACTTAAATATCTATTTTGTATATGGCAAAATTGAAGGATTAAGGCTAAAAATATTTTTTTAAATAGTGAAAAATCAGGTATTTGATTTCAGGTGGGTAGTTTTCATGTTGTTGCTTAAATGACTTAAATGTGGCTGCTTAAATTATATTACAATTCAATTAGCAAAGAAAAAATTTTTTAAATGGATTACGACTAAGATTTAGTTAGTGACTACAGTGTGCTAGGCATTGTGCTAGATATATTTTCTCATCATTTCATTTCAAGTTTATAATAATCCTATAAATTATGTGATATGAATCCCATTTTGTGGTTCAGGAAACAACTGAGAAATTAAGTAACTTGACTGATATCCTATAGCTATTAACTGGTAAAGGATTTGAATCCAGTAAACTTGAATAAACATTCATTAAGTGTTTCCTATATGCTAGGCACCTTGTGAGGTGCTGAGGATAAAAGACTAATGGGCATAATTCCTAATCTCAAGAAATTCATAGTCTATTGGAAGAGACAGGCAATGAACAGATAATTTCAAATGATGTGGTCTTTCTGAATCCAGTATGCCATAGTTTCTAAACTTCATAATGTTCACATCAGTAATGAATAAGATCTTTGACCGACAATCATTACATGCACTATATGTTATCTAAGTTGTGAACTCCTACTTCTTTCATCAATTTTGGAACCTGAAGAACACCATTCTCTAAGTACGTGGCTTTGGGAAAGTCAGTTGACCTCTCTGAGCCTTTGTTTCATCATTTTGATATGAGGATTAACAATCTCCTGACCTCCTAACTTCACAGGGCTCTTGGGAGAATCAAATTGGTTTAAACAAGTACAATTGCTTTGAAATTTGCAAAGCACAGTAGGAATAAATGTGAAGTTTCAATGATGTGAAGTCATAAGTTCAAAAGACCTAGATTTCTTTTTTTTTTTTTTTAGATTTCTAAAATATAGAATTTCAGTGGGTTGTGGCTATGATAATCTATAAATTCCATTAAGTGCATGTATTTAAATTAAGGTAACAATCTGACACCAGTGCATAAAATGCATTCCTATTTCAGATCCCAAGACAATAAAAATGACCACTATGTGAAATAAATTAGTTACGTCCCATGGATAACAGAATTAAAGTACATGTTAGCTGTGGAGGAAAAAAATCCCTTTGCTTTCAAATTTGATGTGCAGGTGGTTTCTCTTATAACCTTAATGCCTTCCAGCTCCCATTACCCTAACTGAAAGCCTTCATCCATTCTATCCACCTACATCCTAACTGATCTCCTGCCTTCAGACTGTGACACCCATCCTACACACCGTTGCCTAAAACAACGGTTGTAAGCAATCCAACTATAACACTCTCCTGATAAACAGATTGATGTCTTTAACAGTAATTATGAAAAGTATACTCCGAAAAGCTTCCTATCATCTGTCATTAAACATAACCTCAGAGCTCCCCAACTGCCACGAAGGAGATCACGCTGGTCACTCTCTTTGGAGGTCTCAATGTCTATTTAGGACACTAGTATTCCTGAGAAATGAGAAATCCGTGCACTTTAATGCTACTGGATTCTACTGGAAGCATTTTTTGAACAACAGATGTTAGGAATTTAATTCCAAGTGGATCATTACATAACACATAATATCATATAAGTGTTAACTTATTTAATGTCTCTCCAAGGCCTCAGAAAGAAAGTACAAATTCCTTGGCAGGGCACAGAAGGCCCTTTAGTGCCTCCCATAAACTATCTTTCCAGCCTCTAGTCATATTTTCCCTTCAACCACAATAAGTTACTAACTGTTCTCTGACATGTTTTGTATCTTAAACTTTGCATATGCTGTTCCTTTCCATTGTAATGTCTTTCGTTGCCTTCCTTATCTACCAGATAAACTACTACAGGCCATATGTTACTTCTTGTGTGATATTTCCCCCGTACCCCTGGCAGCTAAGTACTTCAATTCAGTTGGCTCATACACACAGAGCATTGTTTTGAAGTCATCTGTTTACAAGTCTGTGTAGACAATACTGAGCTCCCAAAGAACTCCAATGCCTAGGACAGTGTCTAGCACACATAGCCACTCAAATTCAAATGAGTGCTTCAAAGTTTAAAAACTGTGCAAGGATGTTAAGAAAATCTATTTAGTGCCATGAACCAACATCACAGGCTTTCCTTGAAGAGAAAGTTTACTCACAGGAATGGCAGTGTAGTCAGAACCCAGGTGTTAGTACTGGACTATGCTTGTGAAAAGACTTTGAAAATCTGGGGTAGGAGACAGCCAATGAATAATCAAGCCCTAAAAATACTAACAAAAAATTAGGCTAGCCAATATTTAAAAATTGCTTCGATGATCCTTTTGATGAATTAATTACAAATTAATCCTTTTTGCTTCAACTTCACATAAACTTGATGAGGTCGCTATAAACACATCAGTAAGAACTTCAATTAAACATATTATCAGATACAGATGGAAATTTAGGAAGGTTAATTGGTAAAGTTTTACATAAAATTTTAAAAAATCAAACAATTTCTGAGTAATCAGATAAGCTTCAAAATGTTATCTTGCTTATGAAGTCTAGGACCACCACAAAAAAGTCAAAAAAATAAAATGGAATATCTTCTACTACATTCCAAGAAGTCTGAAAGAAGAAAAATTGCACTTTCAAGCTCATAATGATTTCATAATGAGGTTAAATGGTTCTGAGGAAAAACAAATTAAAAATCCAAGGATGGAATGAAATTTTAAATACTCATATAGGTTTTTGGTTTTGAACTTCATTGTATGTTAAAAGAAAACACGTATGACTAAAAAATATACAGAGGACAACATTGAGCACGTCACAAATCTACCAAACACACTTCCTAAAGAAACTTTTTTAAAAAAATAACAAGTGGGAGGTCCAGGCTTTTGTAGAAATGGAGGAAATTTAGTAAAGGAGGAACAGGGATACAGGGCAAACTTACATGACAATAACAGCAGTAGGAAAAGGAATATAAATGATTAGCCTGAAATCTTTATATCTGAACCTTAAAGAAACACATATTTCCTAATGGTATCTCAGTAACAGATTAGGAATGTCATTTGTGACTATAAAAAGTTCAAAGGTGATTTCAAAACTTCAACAATAAATGCAAAACTTGGCAACAGATTGGTGTCTTTGAAGGGAGCAAAGTAAAAGGGCAAAAAATACTACCTAAGTGAACATGCTGGACACAAAATAAGCCCCAAAGAATACTAAAAGATGGGGGGAAAGGGACTTGGTTCATGGAACTGCTAAATTAAATGGTGGAAGGCAGAATGCCTGCATTTCAGTCTTGTCCCGGTCACTTTGCTGTGTGACCCTGCACAGGCCAAATAATCTTTCTGTTCCTCAGTCTCCTTATCTATAAAATGGTGACAGTATCTCATTGGAGGGTTGTGGGTATCTAAGTTCATGCATTTAAGTTATACATTTTCTATGGCTATATAATTTATGGTCCTTTTACCATTATTGGGAAGAGATTTAGCCTAATAAAAACAGTTAGTTAGGATACAGAAGATTTAGATCAGATTATTTTCTCAGTGTTGAGGCTATACTGTCCAAGCCTCAAGCTTTGAAGCAACAATACCACTCACTAACAGATTTAGATTTTTCAGCTTTTTCTACATATTCCAAGAGGGATGATCGATTTTCCTCTTCTATGAGGATACAACCTTTTCTTAACTTTTGTAGAATCTAAAACAAAAGAATGGCCCATTACAGAAATTTTTAAAATATGCCAAAGGATAGAGTCAGTGCAGGGAATATTAATCTAGGAAATAGTATAATATTAACAGAGCTAATGGATTGCCCCTGCATGTTCTCCTAATGGGTCTTGATTAAAGCAGCAGTGCATATTCAGAAAGCACAATTTAATCTCCAAAGGCTTGTACACATACGAGGTACTATTCAAAAATCTCATCCCTTCTTTATTACCATCGTATACAATGTCTTTTAGAAACCTCTTTGAAATACCAATGCCATTTTTGTTATTATATTAGTTTGAGGAGTAAATATTTGCTACTGTTTTTTTAAATTCAGTCTCAAGAATGAAAATTAGTTTTTATGTTAAGAAGGTTTTTAATGAGTGATATTTTCAAAAGAAGAGAGAAAAACTCTATAGATCTCTCAGTACTTGGAAGGGAACTGGCAGAGCCCAGTGGCCACGAGGCAGCTCAGCCGGTCACAGCCCATGGTGGGTCACCACTGATTTCCCATGCACCAGTCTGTGCAGCCATAAAGCCTCAGGATGTCCAAGACAGAAATGCCACAGGGAGTCTACTGCATACATTCTACGATTCATTCATTTACACGACAATTGCAAACACTGAGTCCACCAGAAGTTTTTTTAAATGAAAGAAACGGAACATAACAAATCCAAAAATATAATTTAAATGCTTGTTGCCCCTTCATGTCTAATATGTTAATAACTGTACATTCTCATAGAAAGAAGAAAAAAAAGGAAAGCTTGGTATATAAATTTTTAAAATAATAGGATGCATAATGATGGAAATTAAATAATTTACTTGTTAAAATGGTCTATAAAAGGAAAAAATGCACAAAAAACTGTCACTATCAAGACTGTACACAAAGCTAACAACAAATAAAGGAGCAAATAAATAAAAGACAGTTCATTTTTAATAATTACCACGCTCATGAGTGATGACTGAGGAAGGGAAGATAGTACATTTACAGTAGTCGAAAGAAAAGGAAATGAGGAAAAAGAAAGAAGTTGAGATTTGGTTTTTGTTTTGCTGTTTGTAAGGAAATAAAAAGAAAACGTGTTAATCGGTTTGGGCAATTATTTTTATGTGTGTGTGAAAAAAGAATAAACAAACCAATCTCACATTGAGAGATGTAATGACTTCTAATGTTAGAATGGTCACTCTACAAAGTTATTTCTCATCTGGGACTCACAAATGTTATTCCAATCCATATCTGGCTGACAAAGGATAGGAGACTCGGTAAAATAAACCTGTGTGGCCACTGTTCCTTTGTGGGAAGTGATATGAACAGCAACTAAGGATGATTAATGGAATTGTGTTCAGAGCCTCTGGACCATTAGGTAATAACTATGGAGAAAAATGAAATTGATTTCTAATTCCAAGACAGAGAAGTCAGACTGTGGATGAGAATCATTCGCTTTTAGGCCCTTTACAGCTGGAAAATGCCCAGGACTTCAGTGAGACGGTAGGGGCAGGCAAGTAACAGGCCCTGAGGTTTGTAGCGGCTCTGAGTTCTCCAGATGGGGCCGTCAGGCCAGGTGTTGCAACTGATGACACAAATATCAGTAACAAAGAGATTTGGCCTCATATTTATTTTCAGAAAACCTAAGTAAGCATAGAGTGCTGCTGGTGATTTTTCTGGAAGGTAGCTAACACAATTAAGTAACCGTATGACTAATATTTAATGATTGAACCTATACCTTCAAATACCAAGCTGAAAAAATAAAACACACAGGAGCCATATAGAAGTAGCAGCATTAGAAGAGGTCTAAATGATATCTTTAAAATACAGTGCGAGATATGCAGCTAATTCTTTTTCCTATTGTCAGAACAAAAATATACAGAGATAATTAGAGAGATCAGTTAATTCTAAAACATTTCAGAAAGGCCAGCAGACTACAAATGGCAGACGGGAGAAAACTTATTTTTTGCAACAAGATTAGTTTTATGGAAGACCCCAATGTTCCAAAACTAATACATTGATAAGATGACAACTTCAAATCAGACCAAACAAACAAAAACAGATAAACACACAGGGCCTTACTAAAACTAAATTCCTTTCAAAATCAAACACAAAAGAATAAAAACAAATCAAAACAAAAAATATTGAAGATAATTATTTCTTAATAAATACTAACACGAATGTGCAACAATAGTTATTTCTGCTTTAAATGCACTGTGTGCTGAATTTTCTAGTTTATACACACATCTATTTATAGAAAGAGAAATTCTAAGATTATGTAAGTCATTATTTTTGTGCACAAGTAAATTAAGTGATCAGAGTTATTTAAACACAAAAATTACTCTTTAATTTCTTTCAAACAATTTGGATTTGCAAAGACATATGGATATGTGAGAGAGAAGGATAACTACGATAAAAGAGAGGAGATGGTAGGAATAGTGGTAGACTGAAGGATCTGAAAGGATTACTATCCTAAAGAGAGAGAAGAAACTCACAGCCTGACGGTTTGCTAAAGCAGCCAAAGAAAGTCAAACATTCTCTAATTTGGTTCATCCATGTGCTTTATAATTTTATAGATAATTCTCTAATAAAGGATCTATATCTGCTACCCAACTAGGGGAATGGCCACTGACAGTAGGTCTGGGACAGAAAGGGGTTAATGACTGACGTGGGAAGGTTGGATTTATGGTGTGACCTGTGTGAGTGTGCAATTATGAACTTTTAAATGAGTCACATAAGCATTTTGTCCATTTTAAAATAACCTTGTATCTCTCTGTATTGAAAAGGTCATTGATAACTGACTCATTTCAGGGAAGAAAGGGAAACAAGTGATATTTTTAATTGAAGTGATTAATACCTGATCCTTCCTCTGTCACCATTCCAAGTCCTTCAGCTTTGTTTTGTCGCTCAAATGCATTTAGGTCAAGGACGCTAAAAAAACAAGGAGAAAAACAATTAGAGGACTAATGGAAACTTTTCTTTCTTCAAGAGAGCAAATGTCTAAAAATCATATATCTTGAAATGTGAACCCAATGTTAACACACACTGAAAACATGTCCCAATTCAATGTCTACCAACCATATTCTCCTAGTAGCAGACTAGCCCCTCCCCAGGGCCTACACTGAAATGATCCATGTGAAGGTCAAACATCAGGCATTAATGGGTTTCAACTTTGGGAGCACATTACAAAATTAGCAGACACACTGAAATATGATGATAATAATAATAATCATCTTTTTCCAGTTGGAATAGCTTATTACATTAAGTGTGTGTCAGGTTCCGTGGTCAAATGCTGTCTGAATGATTTCAAATATTGTAAAAAATAGAAAATGATTATCACAAATTAGTTGGTTAAGGACCATTTATTTAGAGAAAATGAGAAATGGTCTACAAGCTCCCAAATAAAACTAAATAATTTCTTTTTTCTCTTTTAAAAATCAGACACTACTCATTTTCAAGTATGGAGAATACACATTAATTCCCCAAGGTCCCTATTTAGGCACAGGGAAGACTATTTTAAGACATTATTAATATTGAGTAATTTAGTAATTAAGACATTACTAACACCTAGCAAGACAGAAAACAAGACACTACCTATTGTCCCACTTTAAAGTGTGTTTAATCATTAAAAATTCTTCTATGTATAATTATTGTCAGTAATGTAAAACAAACACTTTGAAAGATACAACCACTGAGTAGACCCACAACAAGGAAAGCCTGTGCTTACCTACATGACTGCATCAGGCCAGCAAGGCTCTGAAAGAAGCCCACGTCCTTTTTCTCCTTGAGGTAGTCAAGCATTTTCTATAGTAAATATATAAACCATATGGCCACTGAACACAAATTTTGATTTTTGTTAAATAAATAAACAACAAAAACATGCTTTCTATTCTGGAATAAAGATAAAAAAAATATTCAGTGCATACAAATATTACTATTGTCATTTTTACCATGAAATAGTGACAAGCATGTCAAAGCAAGATAGTTGTACATTTCTATGCCCAGCAGTACAGAAACATGGCTTGGAACAAGGGAGTTGCTTTACATAACCACAATAAGCATCATAAACATCAGGGAGAAATAATACTCAACTCTCTTCTAGTCACTCTTTAAGTGTTTGGAGATTCAGATACTTAGTTCAAATTTACTGGGAAAAAGATCCCTCTGGATACTATTCACAGATTTCCATACAAAAGCGAGTTCCTTAAACAGCATTACAATCCCAGGGTTGTGACTACCATATGTTAATGATATAGACAGAAATTCAGTTTCCATTACCATACAAGGAATGATAGGAATCATTTGACTATTAAAGTTTTCTCCTCTGTTCTCAGAATGATGTCCAGATTCGGTCAAAATTTTGGTTAAACATAAATGTAAAAATGCTAAAGCAATGCATAGCTCTGTTTTGTTAGCTGATTGTTACATCCCCTAATGAGACAGCTATTTCGAATGTGGATAAAATGTGTTGGAGGTTTCAAATAAGAAGTACACACAAGATGATAAGATGATAGAAGGCACATCAAAGGTTTTAAGAAAATGAAGATATTGCTCTTTTACAAATATTGAATAGGAGGAGAATAATTTCAATTATCAGTGCTGTCTAAACAGGGCTCAGCTTAGCAGTCAAAATTTTGGTAGTAATCTTTGTTCAGAAATCAAAGGTAATATAAAACTAAATATGTAAAGGTTGCATACACACACATAAATATAGTATATGTATATGTATATATATATATACACGCACATATACATATACCTTCACAAGCATATATATACACATACACACAAATATGTACACACAGAGATACACAAAAACATAACCATTGGGGTGGGGGTGATAACTTATCGGTCTAATGAAACATGAAGCATTTGTTAACCACTGGTCTTTTAAAACAAAAGGTATATGGCTTAGAGGGTCAAAGGGAGGTGGTGGAATATATATCGAAGGTTGAGAGAAAAAAGAAAAAATCTATATAGATGACAAGTACATATGTTACATGAATCTCAAGTTTCCTTTCAACTCCAAAGATTTCTGAATATATATACTATACAATTAAGGTCTTGAAGTAAAACATAAGGCAAGGGAAATTATTTTTTGATAAATATTGTGGAGAGATTAGGTAGGTTTTCTTTATTTTTTCTTTCAGTCATGTAGTCATTTACTATGGAAATCCAAAGAGGATATCTGTAAATTGGGTGAGGAAAAAAGACATCTTTATTTTCACCAACTTCTAACTGAAACTCAGCATTCCTTTCAGCTATTCATCTAAGCGATACACACAAGCAGGATTAGCAGTGACTATGATTTTTGTCATCAACAGAAATTCCAGATATTTTCATATCACATTTTAAAATATTTAGACTAATCATTTCTTCTCAATAATTATTAGAACAAGTACTAGATCTCTTATTTAATGAGTTCATAAAGAAATGCATATTATATTATCAAAAACCTGTTTTATAATATTTTGGTAACCACAGGTCAATATACTTCGTTTCTTTTGTAAACCTGTGCAATTTTTCTCTGGGCATTTGTAAACATCATACAGAGAGGAGTCCAGAGGATTCACCAAACTGTCAGAGGCATTAAAAAGAAAAAGTCAAGAACCCTGGCTTAGATCATATCTATGTTCTCTTCCAGTCCTAAAATGTAATGATTACATTTACAGAAAAAAGTACACAATTAGAGAAAAATGTAAAAATGAAATTTTTCAGCAATTCTGGGTTGCTACTTAACCAATCTAAAACTTCACCAACCTAAAAGCAACCTTCCAATTTTCTCTGCTTTTCTTTTCTTGGACTCAAAAGTTTTCTAGGAGCACATTCATGGCTCTGTGCCACTGTTGTGATTCTGAGGTTCACAGCAACTTGAAGTGGGACATCCTAAGGTTTTCATTAGCCTCCCTTTCCTTCTATCAGGGAAGCCCTTTATCTGCCTCGCTAAAACTTACCCAAGAAAGAATGGTTATTAGTCCCATGTTTATAAACCATGTTTCCTCATAAAGAAGCCAGGATATAAAAATAAGAGAGAGATCTTAGTCTTAGAAAAACACAATCTGCTGCTTAAATTATGTTTTGCTTTGCTCTTTTTCAATTAGCATAACATTTTTTTCTGAGCTCAGGGCCACGCTGTAGGCCATGTGAATGGTGTCCCCGGAGGTGTGCAGAGCAAAACCGTGACAGTCTGTTTCTGGCAGTTTTTTTAAGTTACTCAGATACTCTTATTTGAATAAACTCACAGACCTCGGCCTTCAGTTGGATATAGAGACGGCATTCTTTGTCGGAACTGATTGAAGTTATTAAAATCCTAGCCCAGATCATGTCTAACTTTTAAACAGAACGCAGTTACAAAAATTGATTGGGAAGTGATTTTCTCAAGTCTTGGGAGACTAGAAAGAACTACAACTGAAAAAATTAACAGTGCATTATGTTGACATGTTAACCAAGGAGAAGGCTTCATACTATATATACAAGAAAACCCCTAGAATCAACGTATAGAAGGTACAACACTATAAAACATGTTACCAAACTAGGCTCCCTAGGAAAGAATATTTATTTTTCACTATTAAAACAAACAGCTGGTTTATGCTGACTTATTCACATGAAATGCAGTATCACAAATGACATGACTATATGACATGACTTCAGACTTCTAAAGAGAGTTAGTGCCCCACATGGGGTGTTTAGTGTACTACTTAGAAGGTATTTGGATACTGGGACAAGATGACCATAAAATAAAGACATATTTTACATAAGAAATGAAAAATTTTACAACTAATAGTTCTTTTAGGATGACTAAAATAGTTCAACAAGATGACTATATAGTCCATTTGTTTGAAAGTACATTATGTGAATGGCTTAAAGATACTACCTGCTGTACTGTAGAGTTCCCACCATTTAAGATAGCAATTCCAAGCTTCAAAGTAGCAGCTACCATTGGTCCAGTTTCACCTTAAAAATATCAAAAGCAGTGTTCCTTAAATTATTTTACCTGCTACATGAACCTCTTCTGTCTCAAAATGTGCACTTTAAAAAATATTGTTACACCCCTACAAATCGGTATAATGGTGGAGTGGAACAAACTGACTTATATACCAAAAAATTAGAAGAGTAATAATGCATATTTTGCCATCAATGTTTTTACTAAATTCTCTGTGATATATCCAAGAATTGACTATATGAGAACACAGAAAAAAAGAATAGGAAGAAACAGTCAATTTTGAAACAGAGACCTAAAATTATTGAGATTCAAAACTAATCATGTGTATTAAAATAATATTGAAATGAATATCAGCCACTTAAAATTTTCTTTAAGGAAAATTTCTCTCCCTCCTCCCTCAACAATATTATGTTTAAACAATTTTTATTTCATCACTTTTATCTTAATATATTTATAGTCTTGCTTTATTAGGATGACTAGTCACAATTTTAAGTTATTCAAATAATAATGACAAAATTTTAAATCCAATTGACTATCATTTAGTATATTATATTTTATTTTTACATTATTCACCTCTGCTTGTCTTAGAAATAGAAAAAAAATCCCCATACTTGGGAGAGGGGCGCTTAATAACAGAATGTACTAGAATTACTTTTCCATTCCATTACAAATTATATTAATGTTTTCACAAAGAAGATATCACTAATGTAAGAAAAATCACCTTAAAATGGCTGGCTACTGAGAAATACAATAATACTTTATTAAAAAGGACTCACTTAAAAGTATCACTATTTATATCAAGGGTCTACAAACTATAGCCTGACGGCCAACTCCAGCTTATCATCTGTTTTTGTAAATAAAGTCTTACTGGAACACGGCCACACTGTTTCTATATTGTCTCTAGTTGTTTTCATGCTAGTTGCAACAGACCACATGACCTGCAAAGCTAAAAATATTTACTATCTGGCCTTTCACAAAGACATTTATTTGCCCACCTCTGTTTTATAAGATCAGTTTGCTAGAGTTGTGTCACAATATAATTTCTAAAACTTAATGAACAGAAATAAATCTTTTAGTAAGCCTCTGAAAAGAAAAAGCAACATTGGTCTTGGTAAATAAGATCTGGCATTTGTTAAGTTACCTGACCGAGTCATGAACGAGAAATTCAGGGACAAAGTAAATCAGTAGAATTGAAATAAGGGAAGTCCTAGAAAGTAAAGTGGAAATCCGAAAAACAAACCTTCCGAGGTCGAGAAATGAACCTCACCTTTGCTGGCACTGATGGTCTGCAGCACCATCTCGGCAGCACCGCGGTCATGGAGCCTGGCTTGTTGGTATAGAAGCTTTTGCTTTTCCATTTCTTTTTCCTGAACACAAATCCCAACCATTTATGTTGTGGCCATCAGTAAGCACAGCAGCTTTCTATAAACCATATTTTTAGTCATCTCTTCATGTTTGGGCTCTATGACAACATTATGGACCATTTCAACACCAACAATGCCATTATACAGATATTAACATATCCAACTCTTGGTTTTTCCCTTTATATTTTTCTTGATATACTTTTGGTACTGGTTTATCAGGATAGATTTTCTCAATTATAATTATTTGATTAGTCCAAAGCCTGTACCATAGTTTTGAAGTACTGTACTTCATCATTGAAACTTGCACTTTCTGAATTATACATTTGTGCATAAGTTTGTCACATTTTTAATAATCTCCCATGTCATGGCCATAACTTGATACTGCTCAGCAAATGGCTTGAGTTGCAAGTTATCACTGAATGACAGAAAAACATTAACTGAGATGTGTTGGAGTTTAAGCAAAATTGAAAGCTGATATGGATCAAAAGGTAGGCTTCAACTAAGTGGTGGACTTAGGATACAGATCTCCCCAGTCACCCCCCAAGAATAAAAGAAGCAATGTGCCTTTATATTTTGTATTCTCTGGTGGTAACAAACAATACCGCATGGTGCTGCTAGAGCAATGGCTTGGGTTTGTTCTTTTCCACTTAAACTACCACTGAAAACATAAAGAAGAAAATAAAAATAAAATATAAAGGCACAGCAAGTTCAAGACTGGTAGGATCATTCACTTGAGCTATCCAGTTCGCTGGAGAATTGAGACGGAACTAAGCAGTATAAGTTGCAAAATGAAAGTTGCATAGAGCCCTATGACAGCGAGTCCATCAAATGGCGTGGTAGAGAAGCTTAGTCAACGGGACATGAAACAGTCAATCAGTATCATGTCCATAAACACAACGGCCAAAACATATATGACCTAAGAGCAGGAAGAGCTGCAGCAGAAGTAGCCAGAGTGACAGCTTTGCTGCCATAAACTTTCCATCCAAAGTACGGAAAATAGACACTGGAAGATGGAAGAGGTTTAAAAAATGAAGGCTTGCTAGTTACAGAATATGAAAAAGAAAGTAAACTAAAAGGAGGGGAAAAAGAAATGGGCTCAAACAAATGAAAAAAGAAACCTTTAAATCAAAAGCAACCAACACAGACATTTATGCTGTTACCAGAGAGTTCTCGCCGAGGCTGGCAAATTTGTTTCTTAAATCTTTGATAATATCGTGCTGCGAAAACAAAATTGATCAGGGTTTTTTTTCACACTATAGTTAGAGCTCCTGTGGTTAAATTTTTATTTTTTCTTAAATTATGTGATAGGCCTAAATGGAAGCAGAGAAAAGAAAAAAAAAGGCAGCTTTGCTTTGTATGTAGCCATGCTAACATCTAAAAGGTTTGCCTTCATGTTTAAACCTCTTCCTGTGAAGTCAAAAACAAAACGAAAACAAAACCACACAGACACACAAAACCATATTGTCATTACAACACAGTTTCAGAAAAACCGAAAGAAGATCCTTTCGTCTGCTCTTTAGGTGTTGTTTAAAATTGGTGAGCAACATTTGATTCTTCCTTTTAGACCCAACAATCTTTCACTTTCCTCCCATTGCCAGAGCTATAGATGGAACTTTTGCTTCCCAGCTTAACCAACTCCTTTTGTAAAAGAGTTTTTCAGTAAGACAATGATAAGAAATTATTGGCTTAATGAACTGCCCTATCATTCTCAACAACTAACAGGCAAGAGAGTTAGAAAGAGCAATTCTTTTATTGACCCAATAGAACATATAAAGATAGTCATCAGGAAACCCAAAGAAGATGGAAGATGGGAGGATGCCATATATTCTTGACGAAAACAAAACAAAACCCTTTGCCATTCGTGCTCCCAAAGTAGGTAGACCAGCTCAAAGATTTGCCAGAACAACTTGCACAATAGATTCTAAGTTCCCAGTATCCTCTTCGGTAACTGAAATTACACATGGTGGACGGATGCCAGGAGGATAAAGAAATAGACAGGAGATCAAACTGCCTTCTTATAAAAATAAACTCCCTTGGCAAAGATCACTCTCATTTTTCTTATATAGTATCTAAATTTCAATAACAAAAAATTATTGAAGGGGAGATGATGAGACTCATTTGAAAAAAATATTGAGCTAAAAAAGATATACTGATCTAGAAGCAGGAAAACCCATACTTCATAAAGAGGGATCAGGTGGACCTCTCTCTTGAATTTCCTCTTTGTTAGATTGAGTTGGAAGCTGTCTCTTCAGAAGCTCTTTTATATTATTTCTTTTGGGGACTTTGTCCTTTAAGAACTGCTTCTGGGTATGTAATTTAATCTTGTCATTGAAAATTTTATCACAACATAAAAAAATAAAACCTCACAAGCTAAACCCGAAAACTGAAAGTTTTCAGACAATAAAATGATGGATTATGTGGAAAGAAAAAAATTCTTTCATTTCAAATTTATGGCAGATTAGCTTTTCTAAGCAAATTGAAGACAGATCTTTTAAAAGTATCTTACTCAGGGAACTAGCACCTTGGAAGTACCTTTTTAAAGCATCCTTTTAAAAGTAGGGTTTCCCATCCCACCCCAGATTCTGCTTAAACTGGGAAAGGGTCTTAAATAAACGTTACGCCTTCAACCTGCAATGAAGAATTATCAGCTCTTATTCTAATAAGATTGTTATGAGTCTTTTCAAGGTCAAAGGTGATCATAAATTAGAACCATGATCAAATCACAGGCATTGAAGGGAAGTATTCAACATCATGCTTTGCTTTTAGTATAACTGAAGTTTATAATAAAATAGCTAATATTCCATTTTTTTCTAAGAGTGACTCAGGTTTTTAGCACTTATTGGGGGGAAAGTAGAAAGGCCTAAAAGAAAAAAATCCATTTGGTTCTTCAATAATTTGCCTTATAGGAGAAAAAATATTGGAATAAGAAGAATAAATTACACTGTCCCTTGCTTCTTGATGGAGAAAATAGTTTATGCCCATAATGGAGTTGAAAATGTATTTTAAACCAGGGCAGCCTGATGACAGCAAAGAAATTCACATTGTTTCTGAAGGAACTTCCTCAGGTACATGGACATTTGGGGCAGCACTGTGCATCACAGGCTGAGGCTACCAATTCTATAGTCTGTGCATCATGCCAAATGAGGCCCATTGGCCTGATTTCTTTCTTTGCATTTTCAAGCCTTTAGCAACTGCTGAAAAAGTTTTCAAAATCTTTTCCTCTCAAACTGCATGTGGCGATAGTTATAAGTGAACAGAAATTTCCAGGACTTGAACTTTCTAAAAATATTTCCCTTAATTTAGTAATGTTATAAGTCAATATTAAATATTCTTATTTGGCATCTTAAATGTAGTCATAACCTACAAGGTGGTATTGAATCTCAACATTACATGAAAAAAAGATGGAAATATAGAAGATTCAATTGGATAATTATGAAGCAAAGATGAAAGGCAGTGAAACAGTAGTAATAATTTGGTTAACAACACAAACAGGCCAACTCAGACCACAGAAAAACAAAAGTATGGATAACAGTCACATTCTCCACTTCAATTAATTCTGTTCTGTATTCCAGCTTCTGAAACTGTAGATTAGCCACATTCATATAGAGATGACTCGCAGTGCTAGGATAATACTTATAAGATTATAACCTTATTTAATAATCGATGGTTCCCCAAATTTTTAGATTTTAAATTTAATTTTTAAAAAACCTAAATAAATTTATATGGTGGTCCCTAGAAGTAAAGCTCCGTAACAGAAGGGGCCATAGCTGGTTTGTTTGTTTGTTTGATCCACAACACCAGTACATATATACAGTATATCCAACACAGCTCCCTACACATAAGAGATGTTCAAGAAAATGTGAATGAATGATAGAACTAAATAATGTGATATCATGCAGTATGTTCAATTAATCTGAAATTTTATAAATGTTTTCATTTGAAGAGCTACAAAGCTAGTCCAATGTGAAAAGTTTATTCAGTTTACTTTCAGTACATGGTCTAAGAAGTCTAGAAACATACACACATAAACCAATAATAATTCTCCAATTGTGGTTTTTAGCTCATTTAATTTTTTGTCTGTACCTTCTATTACTACCTATTCTCTCTGTTGCTGAACTATCAAATAATATAGTAATCTTCCAGAGTTCTACTTCTCAATAGGATGAACATAGTTTCTAATGTTCTCTCTTTAAAAACAATAAAAAGTATGTTTTTACCCAAAGCATACTTTATTTAAATGCCAAAGTTTTACTAATAAACGATCAAAGACGACAAAAACACTAAACAAGAGAAACGTAGTTCAGTCAACGTGTTGCAGGCTCTGAAGTTTCGATGTGCTGTGCAGTGCGACTTGATGGCTTACTTCTTCCTGTACCAAATATACTTGCATTTCGGTTGGAATGTTGTTTCCCCTGGATTCAGCATGTTTAGAACTAATTAAAGCTATGCTAAAACAATACAACCCAGTTGAGTTGAAATAGTTTTCTATTTCAGGTCCTGTTGACAAAATTTATACTACTCTACAAAAAGCCCCACTAACAAAGTATAAAATGAGAGGAAAGAATGAGTAACTCTAAAATCAGAGGTTATCAAATTCGCAAACGTAGGTTGACTTATCATTAGAGAGAATGTGGTTTAAAATGGATGGATTTAAACAAAACAGAGTTAAAAGAGCCTTCATTTACCTACTTGTTTGTTTAAGCCTTAAATGCACTGGATACTGCCTTGAATACAGAAATAAGTGCCCTGCAGCTCTACTAGCAGCCCCAACAAAAGGGAGAGCAAGAACAAAAAGGCGACTGACGACCTCTAATCACTTGAAGGTAAGGTGAGATCATGACGGTGCCAGAATGTTGGAATAATTAGCGAGAAAAAGAAATAGGAGACATTTTATCCTAGAATGGATCATAACAACTCATTATTTGGATTTCAAGATCTCCCAATTCTAGTAGTTCTAGTGTTTGTAATTCTAAATTTTCACAAATTATTAACCCCACCCCAGA